CTTACAGGGTTTGCACAGAATTTTTCTGCTAGCGCGGTAAGCACAAAATGGTGATCGTAAAAAGTGTAGAATTCTCTGGTTAGCAGAGCCATGAAATCGGGTCCAAGTTAATGAAGACATGTGAGAAGGCGCCCTCTCATTGTGGTTAGAATCTGGAGGTCAAGACGCAGTGTTGTTTTGCATAATCTGCATGCATTTCATAATAAATGCTAGTGTTAGCGTCTATTCCATATACTAATTAGCCTAATCCCCTCCTGGAGACAGAAGGCGGTATATGATACCCTTAAATAGTTCGTGAGAACACACCACACTGCCCTTTAATATTGCGTGAGAACGCATCATACTGAATATTGCATGAAAACACACCATGCATAATGTACGTGCTAAAAATGGTTATGGGCAGGACTAAAGAAGGAAACACAACCCGTCGATGAATACGGATGTCTACATAAGCTCCCGGATTTTAAACCCGCCAATGGTCCGTGAACTAAATATTTATTGTTGCAATTTGCGAAAAGTGAAAGCCGATGCATCACCATTGGGAAAAAAGTGCTTTTAGAGGGAGTACATACAGAAACACTCTGTTGTTGTTTTTTGTACATAGCCGCCAAAAATAATAAAGTGAGTCACTCAGATTAAGAAATAACTTTTTTGCCGAATGATACACTCACGTTTTGTAAATAAACTCTTCATTTGTAAAAAACAAATGTAGATATCATTCTAGGTTGTCACGGTGATTGCAGGTGTTTTTCCATTGTCTTTGAGGGGATGAAAAATTAAATCACTTGGCTCCTCCCCTTTCCATTCTCCAAGAATCATGTAGTTTTTAAGGCACTTTTCCATTTAAAAAGAAAAAATGCAAACTAAATCTGCATAGTTGCTACATAAAAGATTGGAAATATCCTTAATCAGCATAAAATGAAAAAGTAGCGTAAAAAGAGAAATGTGTCTGAACATTTCACAGGACTAGTTTTTAGAACGTTAAAATGAAGCTTAAACTGTCAGCCATTATTTCAATTCCGTCCCCTCCCCAAAAAATAATAATAATAATAACAATAACATCGAACAGGTATACAGCTATAAACAAAAATTTAACGCTGAAATGAGATGTAGAATTTACTTTGATTTTTGTTGATAAGGAAATACTTTAAAAAAAAAATAATAATAATAATAACTTGGTGATTTTCCCGCACGAGATGTTGCAATATGGACAACGCTATGACCAAAAACTATGCGCACCTGAGAGAAAATGTTGATGACTAATTCCTTTTTGATGTCTTTGCTTCCAGATATAATTTTAAAATACCCGACTAGATACATTTGACTGAAAAAATAACCCCCCAAAACATTACGAAAATGCATGGAGTTACTAACAAGCATTACTCTTTGCACTGTGGACCCTACACAAACACATCGGTTAATGAGATATTGGTCCCTATCACAGAATAATTTCATGCAACGATAGTTATGCTGTGCCTACCGTAAGAGAAGGATGCTCAGTATTCACTCACGGAAGTATTCACGATTTGTGATGCGATCTCACGCCGCTCTCAGGTTATAATGCACCTCTGACTGCGCGCTGGTCATTTTATAAGATGTAGGGGGGGGGGGGGGGGCGTTTGCGAAATACGGGGAATACCCGTCTGAAACCCAAGCCCAAGAAATTTCAAGTCCGAGTGTGGCGTCTCATCGTACGCTACAGACATTCTGTCTGGCCGGTGTGAGATGTAAGCCGGCAGGATCAGCTGTAGATTTACTACGTGCTGGTCATTTTAAAGATGATAAGAGATGCGGGGAGGTTTGTTTTTTACGAAATACGGGGAATACCCGTTTGAAACCAAAAGCGAAAGACAGTTCAGGCGCGATCGACTGCGGCGTCTCGTCTGCTGTCTGGCCGGTGTAAGTTTGTGAATGACTAATTGCATTTGTCGTTCTGCTGGATAGGCGGTAAGCAATGGGGAATCCCAGAAAATTATGCAAACAATGTAAGAATGAAGCAAAGGTGTTATTTATTGATAGAAGTGAAAAATGTTACTGCTAAGCACGGCGATTTAATGATTTTTTCCCGGCTTCTGTGGGCCAGAGGATGGAAGTTACTGTGGGTAAACTCAATCTTGCAATTAGGCCTAAGAGGATGCAGCTTACAAAAATCAGAACAAATAAGCTTTTGCTCGGAACTTAATGTACAGACCAATCCGGGCTCGCTATCAACAATTCCATTGCGAAGGCCCCCTCCAATGTCGGAAACACTATGCTATAGCTACTCTGACAATGACAGTAGCTTTTCACAGTAGCATTGCACAATGGTTTCTCCATTGAAGGGGGCCTCGTGTGTGCAGTAATCACGTGACCTAATTCGTCTATTTTCTATAGGTTTGTGAGTTTGACTGGAAGACTACCCCTATCGGCAGCAAAGTGTTGGCCATGACTTGCAGATTTTGTACCTGATTGTAGACCTGCACAGCACCCTCAAAAATCAATGTTCGCCATTAGCCGTTTCACAGATGCCGTCATCTTTGTGATCACGTGGTAATCTGGGGGGGGGGGGGGGGGGCATTTATTAGTAGTAGTAGTATAGTACATTTATTTCAATGCTGTCCTTGGAAATGTATAGTGTTTACAATAAGTTGAAATACAATATTACAGTTTAAGTTAATATCAAATTATTACACAAAGGACAACACTTAGGCTTGGGTGAAGCAAAAATGCTTTTGTACCCTAACCAAGGGACAGACAGCTTTAAGGATGAAGTCTTCGCCACAGTTCCAAACATAGCCTTTCACCAAGGCCATCGTGGCTTAACCCTAAAGGGGCAGGGTTATTTTGACCATCTCTCAGCCGGGGGGGGGGCGGATTCCGCCCATCGAGTGACGAAATTTTTTTTGGAAACTCGGCACATGCATAGAGCAACTCTTCCTAAACATACCCAAGAAATTTCATGACTATAGGGCAAAGGGTTTTGGAATTATGGCTAATTAATTATTCAAATGTACGAATGGCAATTCTGCTCTGTGTACACGACGTATATGCGAAAATTCAGTTTTCCCGGCGCGTAGCGCCGGAAAATTTGTCGCTATGCGGCAACCCGTGGTCCGATTTTTATGTTTTTGGTATCAAAAGATGCGCAAAGCTCGAAGCTAAAAAGTCATAAGAGCTCGGGTCGCGAAATTTTTTTTTAGAGGCTATCACGGAAAATGTTGAGTGGGGGGGGGGGGCGGATCCCGCCCCCGGCCCCTTTAGGGTTAACTTGCCCGCATTCAAAGCAGCGAAAAAGCGAGGCGACTGGAGCGGGAGACCACACGTGCGAGTGCCTTTTCTAACTTGTCGAGAAATTCTTATGTCTTTCTTTATAATCTCGATTTTTGCTACCCCAAAAGGATAGCAAAATTCCAAATAATCATCAGCCTTTTCGTGCGTGCGTGGCTACTACCTGGACGCGTCGACGCGCCCGGATGCTTGCACAAAATTTTAAAACAAAAAATGCGAGTCTATAGTTTTCCACGAGATCGTGACCGCGTAATTGTTCTAACATTATCTTATTTTAACTTTACTTTTAAACGTATTTCAAGAAATTATTTGAGGGTATGAACATATTTTTCATCTGAACTTACAGTTATTTGCTCTTACGTTTTCCTTACTCACCCATCTTTTAAAAATGGAAGCGACTAGGCAAAATCCGCGTTGTGATTGGTTAACCTTCACCACCTTCTTATTTGCATAAAAAATATGAATAATTCAACAAAATCAAGTTGTAAAAGGCCTCGTGGCTTTGCCACTCGTGCGTGCTGACTTAATCTGTGCTCCAGTCGCTTTTGGGTTTGCAGCTCGGCCGCTTTAAGCCACGATGGCCTTGGCGAAAGGCTATTCCAAACAAAGTTCGATACCGCCCTGTTTGCGTAATTTTTTTCCCTAGGAGGGTTAGGGGCAATGTCATGAATAATTCAGTTTTTTCTTTGAATCATTGCAAGACTTAGGTTCTCGTTCTATTTTCCCCTTAATTTAAAATTATCTCAGTGATAAATTTGGAGAAGAAAAATAGCTGATGAAAATGAGCAGCGACGACGTGGATTCGAACCAGGGATCTTTGTATCCATAGCTCATCCCGCTATCCACTAGGCTACTGTGTGGTAGCTCGACGACAACCGTTCTTTAAAATGCTTTAATGTATTGTAACTAGTTGAGTAACTAACAACAATGCTGTTGATGTCATTGTCCGTTCTCATGGATAAACATGAATTATTCATGACATTGCCCTAACCCTCCTAGGAATAAAAATTACGCGCCCTGTTCAGAAACATGTAGGCCATCATTTTCTGGACGATTGTCAGACTCTGGTGACTTGTGACTCATTCGAGTCCAATTTTCCCTCCTTTTATGGGACTCGGACTTCGAGTCACGATGACGAATGACTCGGACTCGGACTGTACAAAAAAAATGCGTTTTAGGGTCCCTTCGGCAGTTCCTACTGCTAAATATAAACATTAAATTACAGTAACATATTTACTTTTCATCTCTCCTATTCTCTCTCCCCCCCTCTTTGGGGGCTTTTCCAGGTGGGCGGGGGTGGGGGCAGGCGTCCCCCTTGCCCCATCCTATAGCGAAGCCCATGCTCGGGACTCGACCAAAATTAGCACAAATCACTTTTTTTTGAAAAATATAATTACAAATTGTTTGGAAGACGATCCTCTTCTGGGCAAGCGATATCAGTCAGTGCGGTGCAGAACAAATGCATAATTATGTACTGTACATGTACACAACGCGTGCGGCTGGTTCGTTTTCAATATATTGATTTGGGGAATCAATGTATCGAAACATGTACCCAGCGTCCATTCTTGACATTGCGTAAATACACACTTGAACTAGTGTTCAGTGCCAGATTGTCCTTGCAAAACCTGGTGTCTTGTCTTATTTGGCATGTTACACATTTATTTCCAGTTCAACAAAGAGAAATAGAGAGAAAAGCTGTGAAAAATGGAAACATTACACTATGAGGTTTTAGCAGTGCCTCAATATTTATTTCCAATATACATTAAAGGTGGGCGATTCGTGGCTCGGACTCGACCTTTGTGACTCGTGACTCAGATATAAAAACACAATACTATTAGGCCAGTTGATCATCTTTATTCGACCAATTTTACACACGATTAAAAATTGCCAATTATGCTACTGGCCACAAGTAAACTATCAAACTAGCTGTTATATAATATGACCAATGATTTTGATCATCCTATCTAATACATTATAAACGAATGATCAAATTTATCTTCTTTTTTATACATGTGCATAGCGACACAAAAGAGGAAAGATCAGATTACTGAGAATTGAACTATATCAAATTTATTACTCCCCTAACAATCAAAACAGGAATACCAAGGTTTTTTTCCCCAGGCAAACAAGTTTGAAAACTGATTATGAACTCAGAGCGGTTATGAGACGCCAATATGGCTACTACATACAGTTTTAAACACAAATAAATCAATCTAAATTTTTTTAAAAAATATCTTGAGGTAAGGTATCGTCATTGTGTATAGTTATGACAATATTTGCCCCTACGATATTTCTTTCCAATCATTAATATCTATTGACAGAGATAAAATGCGCATGTAATTTTTCTATTGCTTGACTCAGTATGTCAACAAAATATAAATGTACCCATAGGGTGTTACTTTCATTATGCTACACTCGTACACACAAGCGCCCGTCATTTTCGTACAAAAGACAATCCCTATATATCCAACAAATCTTGATCATGAATCTCGTATTTTGTCTTTAAGTATTGCCAATGCAATCACCAACCCAGTTGACAAAAAGGAGACAAAAATGTGTACTAGTGCAGCATAACGGTAGTGTTTTTCTGCAGGAGTCAATCAAGTCTTTAACAAGAACATAAACACCGTCATTCGAAATACTTTTTGATGTCCGATTATAAGTCCAACAGAAGACAGTTTTGTTCGTTCATTTTGACACAAATATATATATTTTCTTAGAACGAAAACACACATTGTGGACATGACTCCTGCAGGAAATAATGTGAACGTTTGTTGCACTTTATTATAAAGTGTATGTTACAAAAAAAAAAAAAACCAGAGCACACTCAAATTCAAATTTGTCCACGAATAGTCTTTCTTTAGAACCATTTCGAGAGATAAACCTAAACATAATAAGTCTACGTCAAGGGATCCAAATGTCATTGTCTTCCGTGTCAATATTGAGCAATATTTCGCTCAACTCGAAAATTCTGGAGTCGAGAACATCAAATCCAACCTTCAGTAAATGTATAATAATATTGCAACTGTATTTCCAGATGTAGTCTTATTTTAAATAAAAAAGTACATTTTCAAAGACTACTTCCTTTGTGTCTTTGCATCTGTTTTCCCCCGTCATTAAAAATACATGTAGATCATTTTAACAATTATAACTCCAATCTATAGTGGGATGTTAGAAACTTTTTCATTGGGGTCCTTGAGCTTAATGGAGCTTGTGCAACCCTGAACTGTTTCAGATAAACTTCGACCACTTCTGAACTGACCCTTAAGGTTCCTTCCCGTGCTCGTCAACAAATTCGATTTTTTTTTGTTCTTCTAACGAACTATCAACCAATAATAACTCCTTTATTATTTTTAACTGTTAGCCTCTGGTTCGTGTGTCGGCACCAGTGTTAAGTTGCGCGTTTCTAGTGAAAACACTTAAGCAATGACGAAGATCTACCCTTTATTTTTTGTGGTCTACTTATAGATCTCTCTCATAGCACGCCATCTTCGTAGGAAAATTAGAAAACTGCTAAATGCTCATGCACGTGACAATCTGTAGGAAGTGATGTCATTTGAGACAGACCTATACTTTCAACGTCTGCTACCATATCAAAAATCTTTAATATGGGGTCACCGTTGCGCCTCTTATAGGCCTACACCAAAAGATCAGCTTGAATTATTGTCGGGCTGCAAACAATTCAAAATTGGCAAAGTAATTATTCCGTGGCTATGCGTTCGGTATCACCATTTTAAAGTGAATAACTTTTGTAAAAAGCAATCGGAATAAACTCACCAAAATAATAGCACAAGAAAGCAATTGTCATTTCTTTATGTTCTTGACAAGATGAACTGTTTTAAACGCTGACCCCGGTCATTTCGGTGTAGTTTGGGCCAGACTTTAGTGGGTCTGCTTCATCATTGGCTTCAACATTCACTTCCGTCTGGTTCCTTCTGTCGAGAATAACACATATCAACACAACATAAATAAGGATAACAAAACGAGTACCCCCAGAGAAGTTTTAAGGAGGTATATTGTAAACAAAGAGACCCTATAATTATAGCAACCCTCTTTCAAACAATGGACTTCGTGTGACATTGTGTGACAAAGAACATAGCCTAAATGTTCTCCTTTTTGGGTGAATTTCTTAAGAAACATCAGAGAAATAAGGTCTCTTTGATTGTATGCTCAAAAAAATGTAGGAAAGGGGTTGAAACGTTCCACTTGACGATTCTGGTTTTTTTTTTATCAATATCAGTTATACGACACCATTTTGTTACAGCCATTAAGCCCATTCAAAAAAAACATATTTGTATTTATTATAAAGTGACCCACAATGGAGGTTTTACTTCGTCAAATCAAGTTTGCGGCGATAGTAGAGTATCATCACGACGCAGCCGGCGATCGCCGAGACAAGGACCACTATGACGACAATGTAGGCGGTGTTATTTTCTGCACAACCCAGCTTTTCGATGACTCCCCGTACTGCAGTGGTTTCAGCCTGGGTATTCGCTGTACCTACGTGACAAAAAAAAACACATTATTTCAAAGTGAAGGAGCGTTTGGGTTGCAATGAACGCTCCTCCCAAACAAATCCACCTTGAGTTTCTATAAAATATTCTGTTGAATTCCGAGTGGACCCCTACAGTGACTGATGAGATATCGAGCTCTATACATGTTGGTGTTTCACAAGATGTTATGTTTTTCTTCGGAGTGCAAGACATTGGTGAAATTGACTGCCAATATAGGGCCTTATTATAGAGCAATGGTGTGGTATTTCCGCAAGTAGGAATGTGAAAGTACACTATTCCAGAAGTGGCAGGTTTAACATAATCATCTTGTCAGACGTAATGGTAAAGCACGACATCGCTTGCGCATGTGCATGTGTGTGTGTTCACGTACGAGTTGCTCACCGTACCACCTCGAGTTGATCGCCCGCAAAGCCGGTCATCGCCCGGGAAGAGGACGAGGCGCAGACTCGCTTTTGTTTTCCAATGAAACTTAACTTATGCTACATACCCTCTCTTTGCTTGAATAAACAACTTTCTATGAGAAAATTGTCGAATTTGTCTAATTTTTTGTGCCCTGCATATTCGCCAAAACTCATTAATCTACACTCGTTTCTTTTATTTACATTGTATAAGGAAATGCCAGTCGAAAAAAAAAACCTGTTTTTTTTCGACATGTTTGAACATGACAGTTTAAACGAAAGTGCTGACTGTCATATGTGTTTCCCCCGATAACAACTCCTTGGTGTTTATATAGGAAGTGCTTTAAACCGCAGACTTTCCGGGATCGAGTGCCGTGACAACCCGTTTCTTTCCCCGAAAAAAAACCCTCAATTGGACAAACTTACTCTTGCGGGTTGGAGCCACGGTAGCGTCTTCTGGGCAGCAACCTTCACACGAAGCTGTATATGAAAATTGACCGAAGATATAGGCCTAAGTTAATGGTTTGCATGTTCTCTTTCGTTCATTTGCGTGGCACACTGTGTGCGGAGAGAGACACAGATATGAAGGTCCTCTGAGCTTCCCCACAACATCAAGGTGAAAATGTGCACTTTTTGAAAATAAGTGAATATATGCCAATCATAATTATAATGTCTCCATGCAAATGTTTATGGATATGTCACAAGTACTGCGTCTTAGCATACCTGTATATTGTTTCATACAAATATGGTTTACATTTATTTCATTTTAAACTCACCGTTTAGGCCTATGTACATGGACTTTGACGTGGACACAGGTTCAAAGCCCCTGCGCGCCATCACAGTGAAATTGTAGTAACCCGCGTCCGTGCACTTGAAGTTTGGAATTTCGAGCGCGCCGTATGTCTTGTCCACGTACGCAGACCGATCATCTTCTCGGCCGTACCGGTAGGGTAGCACTTTGACCACTCCATCCTTGCCCGTTCTGGTGACGCTGACTGGCTCCAGTTGGTCACATTTTCGGTCCAGTAGGACAGTGACACTCTCCCCCAGATCAGCCACCCTACTGGTGGGCAATTGAAACTCTAGATTATAGAAAGTAAAGATTACGAAAGTTAAATCTTAAAATGTTCGTTAAAAATCGTAGATCACCATTTTCATTAGCCACAATGTGAGTGGCATCATCATCGTAGATCACCATTTTCATTAGCCACACTGTGAGTGGCTCAAATACTGGACTTGTGGCTATATTGCTACAAATTTCGTTGTGTAGCTGTGCAATACACTTGAAATAACTGCACCAAGCTTAGAATATAATATAGGATATAACACTTTGTGTACAGCTTCATATACAGGTCGCAAAACAGTATTCAATTCACCTCCCTCCGCCATTATGAAAACAGGCTTTGTCCGACTTTCTTCGGACTCGGGAGGCAACTTTCCATTCAAAATTCTGACCCGGGTAAAATTCATTATTCCTTTAATTGCCTTCAAAACAAAGCCGTGAATGTTCTGTGACCAGCCGCGATAAATTGGGCAGTGACAGACTCTCCGACTGCCACGATTAGTCAATAAAATTATCAATTTCCCGTCGGCACGCCATAATATTACTACATCACCATCAGTGACTTCATAGGTTACGCAATAATTTGTTGCGTAAAGTCTCGGATTTGAAAATGTATGTTGCGCAATGTAATATGTTGCGTAACGCGTGAAATCGACTTGATTTTGCAAGTACAGGGTTGCATCCATTGAACTCCATTAGTAAGCCTTATGGAGATCAACGGTTGCATACCACGCGCGTGGCCTAAAACGTTCGCGTAAGCTACGCCAAAATGGTCACAGCCCAGTTTCGTTTCAGCATGGGCCAATTTCATGGCGCTGCTTAGCACAAAAATTTGCTTAGCACAAAAAAAGTCTGGCTTATAAAAGCAGGTTACCAGCCAAAACTCCATGTGATTTTCATGCTAAGCAAACAACAACTGAATACCAATCACAAGCAATATACATCACATGGACATTTGCTTGGTAATCCTGTTTTTGCCGAGGCAGACTTTTCATACTAAGCAAACGTTTTGTGCTTAGCAGCTGGATGAAATTGGCCCCAGTTTGCGAATAGCAGATGCCTAAGTGATCAATGAAATGCTGATGTGTTTTTACCTGATCGGTATTGCACAAACACTGTAGCACTGGCTGTGTATGGTCTTCCATCTTGTACCGCCTCACAACGGTAAACGTCCTCATCGCTCGCAGATGCAGGATCCACCGTCAGACGCGCCGTCAGATCCCATTTGCACCTCGAGCCTCTCCGTCGACACAGTTTAGGAAAGTCGTGGTTGGTGTTGTTGACTAGGACGGATCCCTTGTAGAACGACAGCCGTGTGTCATTGTAGGATGCCGCTCGCAGAGTGCAGTCCAACTGGATATGGTCTCCAGGAGCTACACACACGCCCTGTGGGATAATGCTGATCCACGTCGCAGCAGTTCCTAAAAAAAGGAAGTAGGCTTACCATTGGCTCGGCGGCTGGAGATCCGTACATTATACTACAGTGTATATTTCCTTATTTTCAAATGTTATAATTTCAATCCAACACCCACGGAAAAAGAAATTCGGACCCAGGGGCCTCGCCAGAACAATAAGCAGTGGCGCGTCCAGAGGAGGGGGGGGGGCACCTTCAATTGTGGTTTTTGTTGTGTCAATTGTCACAGAGTGAAAGGCTATGGTTGCCAATCAAAGCAGGTGGGGGAAAAGAGATTTCACCATGAAAAGTGACTTAATTCTTTAAATAGACCCTTTCATAAAATTGGCCACTGCTCAGTCAACCATGAATGTAATGACATGATCAGGGTGTCATTTTGAAGAGGAGATTCAACCCTAACAGAGGAGATCTCCCTTTGATTCACATGTGCCCTACTTCTGTTCCAATTAGCAATAATATCTCGGTTTTTTTTTTTTTAAATCCACCCTGTATACCTGCGTACGTGTCATAAAAGTATCGTAGAGGGCGCTAAATAACCATGTATGCGGATGTTGTTTGGGAAAAAAAATTCTCGGGCGGTTGCGCCCCCCCCCCCTCCCCCACATCAACAGCTGGATACTCTGGGTGTATATACTACATCAGGGTGTATATACTACATCAAAAAGAAGGATTTTCGTCTTACCGATGGCTGTCTTCAGGAGGAGAACGGCAAGGAGGGCCATCAGTTGGAGTTTACAGCTGTCCATTGTCTTGTACCTTACCAGTGGCTATAAAAAATAATTTTCAGAGAAAAATGAGCGGTCAGAATCTGCAGGTCATGACGCAGGGTTGTTTGTCATAAACTGCATGCATTTCATAACAAACGCTAGTACAGGCTTCTATTCCATAGACTAATAGGCTAAATCCCCTCAGGCAGGAGACAAGCGGAAAATAATTGCCCTTCAACATTGCATAAAAACGCACCATGCTGCCAGGGCCGTGCTTAAACACACGCAGCCAAAATGGTAATGGGCTCAACCGAAACACACCTGTCGATCGGGAGGCCTACATAAGTCGTACAATTTCAAACTCATGACAGTCAACAAAATCATTGATTGGTCCATTATGCCGAAAGAACAGTTTTTCATATATTCCTCGTACACAGAGTAGACATAAAGAAACCATAACTCAGTTCACAACACATCAGTAACTTATGCAGGGGAAATAGCTTCGCCCTACACCCATTAATTACTTATGACATTCCATTTTCTAACCGGCCAACGGTCCATGAATCCCGGATAATATGAACTGAAGATTTATTGCCGCAATGCTTTTTCGAAGAAAAGTGAAAGTCTAGATGCATCACCATTAGGAAAAAAAAGTGATTTTAAAGGCTGTACATGCAGTACACTCTGTTTGAGTCAAATGCATTTTGTTTTGTACAAAGCCGAAACAAATAAAAAAAACCCAAAGTGAGTCATTCAGATAATGAAATAAGTTGGTAATTTTCCCACACGATATGATGCAATATGGACAATGCAATAACCAGAAAACTACGCGCACCTGAGAGAAAGTATTGATGACTAATTCCTTTTTGATGTCTTTGCTTCCAGATATAATTTTAAAATACCCGACTAGATACAATTGACTGGAAAAAAAACACCCCAAAACATTACGAAACTGCATGGAGTTACTAACACTCTTTGCACTGTGGACCCTACACAAACATATCGGTTAATAGAGCGAGGACCCTAGGTCTCTATGCATGGTGAACGAGGCTCATTTCTTCCCAAATTATACGCGCACAATGCTCATTTTGAGCATTGACTACGCGTCTACCGCGACCATAAATATAATGAGATATTGGTCCCTATCACACAATAATTTCATGCAACAATATTTATGTTGTGCCTACCGTAAGGAAGGATGCTCAGTATTCACTCATGGAAGCATTCACGGTTGGTGGTGCGATCTCACGCCTCTCTCTCAGGTTACAATGCACCTCTGACTGCGCGCTAGTCATTTTATAAGATGGGGGGGGGGGGGTGTTTTGCGAAATACGGGGAATACCCGTCTGAAACCCAAGCCCAAGAAATTTCAAGTCCGAGTGTGGCGTCTCATCGTACGCTACAGACATTGTGTCTGGCCGGTGTGAGATGTAAGCCGGCCGGATCAGCTTTAGGCCTATTATACTACGTGTTGGTCATTTTAAAGGGCATATACAACATTTGCAAACATCGAAAAATAAAACTACCAAGTTTGTATGAAATACCTTAATAGGATGTTGGTAAATAACAGTCTAAAGCATCCTGTAAACTTATGGCACCTGGTGTGAAGTCATTTTCAAGAAAATGGTATTTTTGTAAAAATTTCCAGCGGAGGTCTGCCGACCACTGTTGGGAAAACCTTACTATTTTTCAACTACTGCTCCAAATTCACCATTCCATTAATTCAGTCCAAATTGTGTTCGCTATTGGTTACATGTTCATGAACGGGTGCAGGCCAGCTAGACTGGTACCCTTACCTTACAATTTTCCGGCATCTGTAAATTGATCCATTTTATATTTAGTGGAGTCAGGGAACCAGACTACTTGAACAGTTTTGTTTTTCTTGGTTTTTCCAGCATTTTCGAACACAAAACTTCAAACATGTCAGTGTAACAATATTTGATCTATTATACTAACCCCTCAAATAGTTCATTTCTGAAAATTACAGCAAAAGCCAATGATGTATATTCCCTTTAAAGATGATAAGAGATGCGGGGAGGTTTGTTTTTTACGAAATACGGGGAATACCCGTTTGAATACCAAAAGTGTGAGACGGTTCAGGCGCGAGTGCGGCGTCTCATCTGTACAGACATGCTGTCTGGCCGGTGTAAGTTTGTGAATTACTAATTGCGTTTGTCATTCCGCTGGATAGGCGGTACGCAATGGGGAATCCCAGAAAATAAGGCAAAAATGTAAGGATGAAGCAAAGGTGTTATTTATTGATAGAAGTGAAAATGTTACTGCGAAGCACAGCGATTTAATGATTTTTTCCCCCCAGCTTCTGTGTGGGCCAGAGGATGGAAGTTGCTGTGGGTAAACTCAATGTTGCAATTGGGCCCAAGAGGATGCAGCTTACAAAAATCAGATCAAATAACCTTTAGCTGAACTTAATGTACAGACCGATCCGGGCACGCTGTCAATAATATCATTACGAAGGCCCCCTTCAATGGCGGAAACACTATGCTATAGCTACTCTGACAATGACAGTAGCTTTGCACAGTCGCTTGTACAATGGTTTCTCCATTAAAGGAAGCCCCGTGAGTGCAGTAATCACGTGACCTAATTCGCCTATTTTCTATAGGTTTGTGAGTTTGATTGGAAGACTACCCCTATCGGCAGCAAAGTGTTGGCCATGACTTGCAGATTTTGTACCTGATTGTAGACCTGCACAGCACCCTCAAAAATCAATGTTCGCCATTAGCCGTTTCACAGATGCCGCCATCTTTTTACACGTGGAAATCGGAAGGGGGGATTTATTAGCAGTACAGTACATTTATGCTGTCCTTGGAAATAGTATAATGTTTACAATAAGTTGAAATACAATATTACAGTTTAAGTTAATATCAAATTATTACACAAAGGACAACATTTACGTTTGGGTGAAGCAAAAATATGATGCGATCAAGCTACATGAGTCGTTTGTCGGGAATTTTCATTTGGATATACAGGCCAAAATAGGGCCACTTTATCACATCACTTCATCACATCTCTTGGTGTTCCGACTTCCATAATTTTTTAACTAACGGTGGTATCAGCATGCAGTTTTCACAGAAGTAATGCTGAGATTGTGCTCCTTTCAAATCTATAATAAAAAAAAATTGACCGGGGTCGACAAACGACTCCTCTAGCTTGATCGCTACACAAAAGGACAGCAACACTGATGCAGGTACAGAATCAATAAAAACACGTCCCATTTCGGATGCTCATGACACAATGGCATGATGGTGCGTATTTCTATTTAAAAAAAAAAACACCTTAAATTACCACGTGATCACAAAGACGTCGGCATCAGTGAAACGGCTTATTGTGGGATATTGGGTTCTCAGTGTGTAGAGCCTTTCGAGGAATGGTTTTGGAAAAGAGTTGTTCACACAGAAACATTTGGAAAAACATGTTTATCCTGCAGCATCGAAAGTGAAACGAGACTTCAACATGCCCTCCCCGTCATCATAAAACGATTCAACAACTTTCCGCAATGAAAAGAATACACTGATATTTCCCCGTTTACAATTTGCTCCCGAGGCATTGTGATGAAATTGAGAAGTCTGGAAATACAAAAAGTGTCGGGAACAAAGTAAAACACTTTCACTTCAATTGTTTTCTGGTGTATATCAGGAAATAAATCGAGGAAAATAGCTGTTTTTTCCACCTCAGGACCAAAAGATGGAGGAAACTGTTCTTGAAAAACGTTTATCACTGAACACAGGGAGACATTAATGTGTTATTAGAATTTAAGACGATGAGTCAATATGGCGCGGGAATGGGTGGAGAGATAGCCATCCAGGGAAGGCAAACGCTTTTTTAAACGGGGGGGGGGGGGGGGGGGGGGGGCAACACCAACAAGGGGCACTTGCTTAGAAAAGGGGTACCTTCCGTCGATGTGAAAGTGGCAAAGAATATGGTCCCGTTCATTTCGCCATCAACCTATACGACGAGGAACAAATTATGAATACGTTGTCCATCTTGCTCTTTGTGTTTCTTTTACCTAGTTAAAGAGAGACCTTTTTTTATCGCGAGAGGGGCACTGTTACTTTTGATGGCCAGTTCAGGGACCATTTTATTCGCGTGAAGAGCACTTTTTGTAGGGGACAATTTTAGAGGAGCTACAGTTTCAATGTTGCAAGCGGGGCACTAATTGTGCTTTCGAGGGACAGTTTTCCATCTCGAGAAGGTATTGCAAGAGGAGCAACATTATGTTTGTTCGCCAATTTTCCATCTCAAAAGAGGAACACGTTTATTATTGCGAGAGGGGTATTTGTGCTTCGAGGGGTAGTTTTCCATCTCGAGAAGTGCACAATTTTGTTAATACGAGAGGGGTATTATTTTTTGAAGGGCAGTTATGCATTACAAGAGAGGAGACAATTGTATTTGTAGCGCGATCATATGCTTTCATACGTGTGCTTCATACTACCTGCTCTCTCACCCTGGTATTGGATCATTTGCATGTGCAAAATTTTGAACAAAGCAAATGAGGAATAGTCTTGTGCCTGCATGTGCGTTACATTGGAGTTTGTTTTTTGTATGCGGTGCCTGGGTGTAAAAACAACATCGATTCGTTGCGCCGTGAGTTACCAAAACACGATTGTTTTCGAAGTTAAAATATTATAACCTTATCCCGCCAATATGCAGTATCACATTTCATATCAATAGTGCAAATTGGAAAGGAAAGGAGTAATTTTGAGAAGGAGTGGACGTTCCCAATGCACACTGATGACATTGGAAATAACAACACCGAGTAGGCATACACGATATAAATCCATTACTAGCCAATTGCAGTATCGAATCGGGATACACGAAGAAAGTTTCCTATCCAGGGCTTACTATTGGAAACGAGGTTGGAAATAAAGTAAGCACTGGGGACGAGGTTTGGGGTGGGGCTTCGGCTTATTGGCGTGAAAACTGACCTCCGATGACCCTGCACGGGATGTAGAACTGGGCTCCGCTGACGCGCCTGTTGCCGTATATACAACTCGGGCTGAGCCTGATGATCGTTTAATAAGGTGTTCGAGGACTTTCGATTGGAGTAATAGTCAGAAGTCTTTCAAAGATGACGATATGGGTTCATTAAAATAAAAATTTGGTGTTTGTGTGTGCACTGTTATATATCATAACATTTGACAGTTGTCAACTTAGTCAAAAAACACCAAAAAAAAAAAACCACCAGAGATTCGCGTTTGTTGAGTTGCAAGCGCTGGGCGATCGGGCCGAAATTAAGAATTAAGGATCACGGGACTGCAACGTTTACTACTGCTTCATTATTAAAACCCACTGAACAAGGAAATATATATTATACATGTACAACAATATAACAACAGCTTTCAACAAAAAGGAAAGGCAAGGAAGGGACATCCGTTTTACCTAATCTGTGCAGAACTAAAATGAACCTGTTTTTATTTGTAACAGAAGAAGTCCAATGTTTTCATAACACTTGGACTTGTTTCAATTTGGCACGATAAAGCTTGTTAGTTCCCGCACAGTAAGAATTTTGTGAACTAATGTTTCATCAAGGGACCAGGAAAAATTCATGGAAATTTTTGGAGCAATGGCACCACGGGGGAATTTCCATTGATAGGTATTTTTGTTATTGAGCCAACAACTTCACTGACTAGTGTACTCGAACAATCCGAGGTATTTTATCGATTAAACATCGAACCTGTGGTTTGCGTAAACAAATTATCTGGTGTCTGTCGAGTGCTTTCGTTTTGTGACGACTTTATAATAATTGTTAATGGCTCAATTTTATTTACTTTTTGCACTGATGGATGATCTGAAGAAAATTCGCAGTTTATTCGGACCGTCTCCAAGACTGTACTCATAAGTTGAGCCAGAAATAATAAAAATACTCAATGTGAAGATTCGGAATGATTTATTATCAATAATTGTTTTAAACTACTTCTGTATCCAATCTAGTTTATGGGATGCACAGGAGCTGATATGTGTTTGTTCAAACTCATGTGTGTCAATTTTTTTTTTATAGGAAAAACTACGGCTTTTTCATCACCATCTATAATCTTTATTCTAAAATCACCCCTTCTTTAAAGCGATAACGGTGCCAGAATTTTGGGTATTTGCTGTGGTCAATTTTCTTTTCTTTGGTGATTCGTTTGTTGTTTCAGTACATTCAAGTTTGATACATTCAAAAGGAGTAGAAAGTTGCACAAATTATTGCTTCTTTGTAAGTTTTAAATCCTGATCCCTTTAAACCACTACATAGATGTCATTTCGTGGTCATTTCCTTGTCCACTCAATACAGACATATAAATTCCTTGAATAAAAACCGCTATTTACAGAACTGAACCATAATATTATACAGGGCTTCAAAACAAATCTGGTCGTGACTGAACCATAAAACATAAAAAAAATTAAAACCTTTACTGAAGCGTATTTTTTTTTTTGTAAATTGCAATCGCTTTCCCTCTTTTTTATAAAGTGAAAATAGTGAACAGGATCCACATCAGACATTCGCTAAAGCCCATCCACGCAAACTAAGCTTTCTGATTTTTACCACCGGTTCACCGGAATCGTCGGGTCTTCGGACGTACAGATCGGAACGGTCTAACAGTACACGGGGCGACCAGATGAAATTAAGGGCTACGCCCCTTAAGTGGGAGCATGTGGTCTAACGGTGGAGTACAGGATTCATGATCGACTAGGTTGTGAATTCAAGCCCCATCATTGCCATGCGTGTTGTACCCTTGAGGAAGGTGCTTTACCTCAATTACTCCCCTATGGGTACCGGCATTATTCAATGCGGGGAAGGTAACAGACTCGCTGTGGAGGAGGTGTGGCGATCCCCCACAGCAGCATATGAGTCTGGCCCAATCGCTAAACGAAAGAGGGATGGGCACTCCGTTCCTGTGAACACAGGTTCGTCCCTTTTTTACGCCCCTATGTTCCGACACCCCTATGTTCCGACTGCACATGTTCCTACTCCTAACCTTACTCCTAACCCTAGCCCTAGCCTTAACCCTATAACCCTAACCAGGAGTAACAATTTATGTGCAGGTTGTAGGAACATAGGGGCGTCGGAACATAGAGCAGCCACCAAATTAAACATGTTTGATTTTTTTTGCAGACGATTACGCCCGATCCGATGTTTTTAATTAAATTAAGAAAGTTTGAATAAATTTGGCAATAAGCTGTTACTTTAAGGGTATTATTTTCCCCCAATGTGACGAAGGTATCCAATGTTGACATTTGAGCAAGTTGTAGGGCACGAGTTATTGTGATGAGCTTTCCCATGTTAGATCACGCACTAAAATCGTTGCAAGCGAATCCGCATGTAAATGTATGCATACAGACCGCAATGGGAAATTGTATGGACCTATGACCTAACATTCTCCGCATGCTGCATGCAGCATTGTGAATATGCAGGGAGTTGAAGTAATGGGTCTCCATGATAGGTCAATTATTTAATTCGACTATCGGTACATGTACTTTGATCGGACGATTGGCAGAATTCGATGTTGGGATTTCCCAAATATAGGGATTGACGTCATTGCGCAAACAAAGAAACAAAGTCCCAATTCCCTCAGGTTGCCACGGTAATATCTTTGGGTTTTAATTTGAAGACGATTCTTCAGTTTTGAAAATACCATTAATGGTCTCTAAATTGATTTTATTTGATACTTCCAATACTTTTTAAACTTTCGGGCGATCTTTTAAACACAAATACAAAACACACTTTAAATGATATGACAAATATTTTAAGGAGTTTTATAAAAGAAATTGTTTTCACTTGGTGTCACCGCAAACTCAGTTTCCGCATGAAACAATTTGAGAAACGAAAATGGTGCCAACTACATTAGGCTACTACCAATACAGAGCGAGTCAAAACAAAAAAAGGAAACCCACATGGCAGGACCAATATTTCAATGACGTTCTGCATGTAGCACTTTCAAAATCTAAGATATGAAAGCCCAATTAATAAGCTTTTTTAGTACAACAATCATTGAAATCACGCATGTACTTTTCACGGTACATAATTTTAAACACAACCACCGTTTTAAAGTTCAGTCAAAATTTGGGGTGGGTGGGTGGGTCAAAACAATTCCGATGAAAGAACGAAATGTTTGAACATTGACTATTCTGAATGGCCCCTTATGGGAAAACCAACACCGGAGGGAGAATATCATGGCCCAAAGAAAAGACACGTCAAGATCATTCCTTTGAGAACGCTCGCACACAATAAAATATTTAACGATAAATAGCCGCTTATACTGGTAACATTCTGGAATTTTGGGCTTCAAAACAATGCACAGTTCTTTCTTTGTCATCCTTTTCAATTCATAGCCTATGCATTCAATCAATCGCACAACCTGTTTTAGTAAATATGCTCAGGGTTTAAAGGGGGGCCAAAAGTTAATATATCACATTTGTGGTAGGCCTACTAGTCTGGTTGTTTGCAAATTATAAGATAAAACAGATATGTTTTGTTGTGTTAAATTCTCTCAAGGAAAAACAAACAGAAAAAACTGGTTTTAAAACACCATAGAAAAAGTTAAAACCACATCTGAACTGTTTAAGTTTATATCAAATGGCTACCTTTGAACTATTGCCTACGTATAAAGAATACTTGATATGCCTAGATACATGTACAATAATTTGGAAGCCATGATCAGTATATTGTGTACATTGTGACGGTAAACACGGTACATAGTCTAACGCGTTCAACCTTGATATTGTCTTCAAAAGACCGAACTGTTGAAAAAGGGACAGCATATCCAGCATTGAAATAAACTAGAAAAACTCCCCATAGACCCCAAGCAATCAAGGATAACTTCACTTTCTGTAGTAGGCCACGATCAACTCAGTTTACGCAGAATCACACACAAAACCATATACACGAGGGCAGGTAATTCTCAAACAATACGGGTACCGTACAGTAACCCCCGTCCACATACCTGTTGCATGGCAGTAAGACTACTTCTGTTTTTCCGAGGGATGTTTTCTCTCTAGCTAGCCTCCTCGACCTCTTTGATCAATTACCTCTGAACAGAAGTGAAAGTCGGAGAGCTCCGTAAGCGATCCACACCTGCAGAGCGTTGTTCTTGTCGCAGAAATTTGCACTTTTTGGAAGGAGGGGAACTATACGATGCTTGTGCTCAACATAGCTTTAGTAGTATGACTGTGTTTGTAATCGCGTGTTTACATATGCAGAGAATCACGTGTTATGAAACGTCACGTCCGTTTTGGGAATCCCATCTACAGAATTTCTAAAAAATACATACAGATATGAACAGTTCAACCAATGCAGTGTTTTTTTAATTTCGTAATCGACGGATGGGACTTTTTGTGTCGTCAGATCTATTTATGTATGATCAACGACAGATGAAATCCAGTCGGATTTTCTTGGAAGAAAGTGACTTGACAGAATTCAAGTTCTGTTATGACCGGGGTCGGGATCCCATTCAACACAAAAGCTTGATGTCACTTATTTCATCTTTATGTGCATCGTGGAGCCTCACTTGTATTCTGTAAAAAAAAAATCACAAAATAAAGCAAAAGTTATGATGATTTTGGATTGGAATGATGAAGTTTTTCTCAGCATGCATGTTCGGAATATTATGCCATCAATTTGAGGACCATGACTGTTGAAATCAACTCATTGTCCGCGGCCACTGCATGTCTATACTGACAGTACTAAGTTCGGTACATTTACTACATGTATAGTGCAGAGAACCAATCCAATAGAAACGTGAAATTGTTTTTAAAAAAAATGAGTGAAGCAAAATAACCCTGTTGTGAAATTGTTCGGCATTTTGGTGATCGTTTATCTACAATCGATTCTAAAAAGCGAGTCGACTTCAATGCAATTAGGCCTGCATAAATAATGAGGTTGCGTGTGTGGAAGTAATTTCAGGATTCTTTCAACCTCACCGAACATTTTCAAGTGCGGCTGTTTTTTTTTTTTTTAACCACCCAGCGTGAGAAATGAACAGGTTGACCTGACCGCGACTGAACTTTCCCGGCGCTTTGGAATAAATTATACAGACTGTTTCCTGGTAAACACAGGCACACACAAAAGGTTCTCAGACAACACGCCTTTCAGGATGTGATCCGGGGTTCATTTTATTTTTGTTCCATGTGGAAAGTGCAAAGACTGCCAACCTAGCACCTGTGTGTATTGAGATGTTTATCGACCCCAATTTTTGTGTGTACAAACGAATGTTGGAAAGCCGGTTCATAGAAAATTTGGTCTCCTATCAAACCTTGTCTCTTTTTACCATTATGGATTGTAACACTCGCACGTGATCTACACATCCCAATTATCTTTACGTAGGCAGTAATGCAACCAACGACAACACCAACATTTCACACTTCACCGGTTCAATAGGTTTGTGGGTATACACCATGTAATACCGCTCTTCTGTGACGAGATCTATAGTTAAAAAAAAACAACCCGAAAGCCGAGGTGTTAAATTGCAGTCTCGACGATTCGGAGAGTGAACTCTGTCTTCCTCAGTAAAATGAATTTACATGCGTTCTTAAAAGTCCCTGATCAGATTCGACCGAAACCCGGGTCCGTCAGTCATCTTTCCGTGCCTTTTGACACCACAAAATTACATTTGACCCAGAAGAGTAGATGCAGATTTTGGATCGAAACTGACCCGGGGGGTTTAAAGGGGCATAACGGCATGAAATCCCCGAACATTTTTGTTTTGGATTGTTTATTTATCCTATTTCAAAGATCTGGTTGAAAGAAAACGAACTTACCGTTCCTGAGAAAAGACACAAAAAACCAGTTGTTTACATTGGACGCAGCGGCCATTTTGTGGCATAATCATACGTATTTCAAGCCGCATATTCAGTGTACTGTGTCATTGTGCGTGTGTGTCATTATACACACATCACCAATACACAAGCGTTATTTGTTACACGTCCGAAGAATGCGAACCACTGTACGGCAGGATTCACAACTCGCATTCTCACACACGAATAACACACTAAATTCCCAGTTTCTAAAAGGATGGTCGCGTGGACGTGTATATCCTACTTTTAAATGCTCTTTACAATTTATGCACTTTCGTTAAACACGCGTTTTGGAGCCCAATTGGGCGCATTCGAGACCGTAATATCCCTTTAAGAGTGTATATTGATAACCAGGAGACTAGAATGTGTAGGGGGTTGGGGGTTTAGGCCACACCCCCAATTTAAGGGCGGTATTCCACTTGTGCAAGAAGAAAAAAAGGTGATTCAACATTCGTCTTTGACATATTTTTCTGTCGTTCAACGCTTAGCACACATAGGCCTATTCATTTTTCGGTCTTTCCAATTTTTTTTATTGAAGAAAAAACGCACCAAGGTTATAGGCCTAGGGCAACTATATATACACATGACATGATTTCCCGGAATATATTGTTTGGTTCAACAGTATATAGTTCTTCCACAGCTGTGTCATGTGACTAAAGGGCAACAACAATCCTTTGGGGCCTCACTGTTTCCATGGTAGGTTTCGATAACAATAACAAGGAAATACAATGACTCCAATCTTAAATTAAAGGTATCCAATCCATTCTGTTTATTACCTCTTGGGAACAGTGTTTTTGGATGCCAGTCTTTTGTACTACAAATGAAAAATTACCCAAGATTTTGAGCACAATTGAGGAAAATTTTAAATTGTTGATTTTATTTTTTGAAGTAAAATATAAAGTACAATCATGCTAAAATCTTTCTCAAATATACGCAATGTCGCCGATCACTTCTTGATTAAATACAATTAACTTACCACACTTTCAATGTTTACCCGGCCCGTCAGTTTTAAGATTCTAAAATTAAATCCTCATCAATACAAATATAAACAATAAATACTTACAACCACAGTCATATAGGGAAAAAAAATGCAAGACTGCCCTTCTTATGAAATCTACAAATAAAAAAACGTTTCCTTAATTTGCATCTTTGTAATAAAAACAAAATGTACAACAAAATGGGGAGACTGGGAAAGAGGTTGATCTTTGACAATTTAAGAATTATGACAAATAGAAAAATATCGTATTAAGTTCCTTGAAGATAGTTTGTTAAATTATTAAGCCACATACATACTTATCTGAATTGGAGTTGGAATAACACGTTGTCATTTAATATAATTATCAATGCGTTACAAAGAAACAAACAATTCCTATAAAATACCAGTTTCATTGAGGCAATCATGTTAAACTATTGTATCTCAAAATCAGAAATATTTGTGCTCGACCTATGCTACGCACTTCAAGTGTCAAGTATGTGTGTCCAATCCAATCTATTAAAAATTAACATATCATCCCACATGAAACCAAAACACCTGTCAATAAAGGTATCAAGAACCGCCCTCAAGCACCGGCACTCCAACGTCAAGTGTCAAGTATACTCACTCTCGGAGCCACATAATTTGCAAGCTATTAACTCAGAAGAGTCCATGATCAAACCCAACAAGTACATATCAACAGAAATCATACTCCTCGTTGACGATTTAATCAAACATGCTGGCAACGCATGGTATTCAGAGTTGTAATATAAATCAACGAACGAGATGCACCTCACATTCGACAGTGGTCCATTTTAAACACTCCTTGTTTCAACTGCATAACTGTCATTTTTTTTCACGAGGAGATATCGTGCTCAGTTCACAGAGTTTCCAACAACTGATGTTTGATTTATGTGCACGGCCATTTGAAATTAAAGTGACAGACTTTTGTGTTACCACGCGAATAGTCCAGACCCAGCAAGAAAAAGGCTCATTTTTTAGTTAGGAAAGGACCTATAACTTCACTTCATTGACCTTCTATAATTTTGTTTCCTTTTCTGTCCCTGACACATCTGGCATCCATGATAATATAATTCTGATGTACTCTTTAATGTAGTCGTCCTCCGAAAATGATAATGAATAGCAAACCACTCATGCACTTAACAAATACGAAATCATTGAAGTCATTCCGATACTTGAATGGTAAATTATAGTATACAATTTACCAAGGTAACAGGGACAGGAAAAATGTTACACTTTGGACCCAAAATTTATAGAATGACCCGTCAAGGCTATGTGTCTGGAATTACCAACCCAGTGCACAGCCACAGGGCAATCATCAGTCTTGCTCCCACATTGAGTTGCATTATTTATGAGCCCGTAAACCGGCACAAACGTCATTAGCGATATGAATATATCACAGGATTATTACAGAATTGAGCCGCCACTCAATATTCGGTCTGGCTGTATATAGTCATTTTTATGAACTAATCAGCTATAAGAGTTCCCAAGACTACAACCTTAGCCCCAGTGGCGTATACAGCTTTTGATGTGTGTGTGTGTGTGTGTGTGGTGGGGGGTGGGGGGGTGGTGGGGGTGGGGGGGGGGGGGGGCGCACTCGCACAGACACGTTTGTTTTACATACCGGTACCTAGTGTGGACATTCCTTTGTTTTCGTGTAGTTAAGAAAAACCAGTGAAAAAAAAACTCATGTGAAAACTCTTACAACCCAATTTTTTTCTATGATTCCCTTTAGTTTTTCTCTTCATTTTCCCACGGATAAACCTAACCGCAAAATGCCTCTTAACCTGTTTTTCAGATAGGGGAAAACCTTTGTGGACCTGGGCAAGTCCACACAACGTCGCTGCTACCTGGTTTATGTGGACATCTTTTGTTCGGAAGTCCACACTGTGAATGTAATGCTTGGCCATCCGGGCCGAAACGTGCACGTGTTTTTTTTCCCCGGAAACTTGGCCTTCGTAAAATATATGCCGATTTTCACGGCGTATTGTAACGGTTTTTGAAACTTAATTTTCTTTTCTTTTTTCATGTCAGAACTTTCTACCATTTGTGGAAATAGTTACTGAAAAAAATATCTTTCAAAAAACCCGCCAGGGTGAGGTGCCCCCCCCCCCCCCCCCCCCCCCCTGGATACGCCACTGCTCAGACCTCCATGGAAAGCACAATCTGTTTCTTAAAGTGAACGAATTCCAGCTTATACTTGCCCTCTGTGGCCGGCGAAGCACACCAAGTTCTAGTCTTGAACCAAAACTAGTCAGTACAAAAATAATTATTTCAAAAATAATTCCAAGACAAGCACTGAGGAGGGCGTTCCAGCCTATGATTTAAGGCCATCCCCCGAGGACGCAGTCGACGATCAGCAACGGTTATATTTTGTGTTCGACAATACATGTATATTCTCCACAATCGGATCTGGAGAATGGGGGGGGGGGGGGGCGCAACGTTCCAAATGTTTTATAGTTAAAATTGAAGGGGTGAAGACAACTTTTTATAATTGAATGCTGTCCCCTTTCCCTGGGAATCGTGAAATATTACACAAAAGAAACGAGGGAAAAGGAAACAAAAGGAGAGCCCTCTAGCGACAACTGAGGGCCACTCCCACTTCCAATTTTTTTATTTTGACCTCCCCCCGAAAATTGGATCCGTCGTTGACATTCCGATACACAAAGCATAGTGCAGATAGGCCGAAATAAGTTCACTTTTGTCGACGGTACGGTCCATGCACTTTATACCGAGTGCTGTCTTTCATACCTCAGTAACCTCAGCAACAGGGCCCGGAACACCTGTAGTTGTAGACCTGTGAAAGCGACAAATAAAAAGCCAATCAAAGCCTCCGCAAAATGACTTTTTTTTTGCTCTCGAACTCATCAAGGGAGGAGGGAAACACACGCACATTGGCCTATAGGCACAATTGTAATGGATTCGGTTTTTTTTTCGAAACCTTTCCTTCGTCTTCAGCTTCGGCTTAGCCTCCGAATTCTGAATCACCGAAAGGCAAACACATCGGAAATATTCTAACATTTGGCTTCATGTCAACCGATTCAATGTTCCTGAAGCATAACATGCACTAACATGCAGCTGGAGAGTACCCGAAGTCGGGGCCTAAAAAATCTGATAAAGCCGAAGACGCAGACAAAGCCAGGTTTGGCCTTTTCGAAATCACAGCCAAATCACAGGTCACCTCCATTCTCAGATCAAGTCACAGGTTACAAAGAGTTGTGACAAGACACAAAGTTGTGACAAATTCATTCCTCATTTGTCAATGTTCTTCTCCATCACGGTGCCATGACTTGTGAATTGTCTTGCGATTTGAGTTGTGTTTTGTCTTGTGTTTGATCAAACTCTGCATACAGGTCTCGCTGTTTGGAAATATCTGTCGATCTCCTTTCCAATTATGGCAAAACGGGTCACTGAACCCACACAAAAAAATCGTTAAACTCGTGTCACTGCAAAGTAGGCCGCGTCAGTATTTTGTGGCTACGACTTACAATTACTCATGCGTCTATGCAAGCGACTAAAGCCTCTTCCCATATAGACACATTACTACTAGCCATAGTCAGTTGTATTCCACCTTACCCTCTCAGTCGTTTCCATCTTGAACGGTAGTAGCAGGCTACCGCTCCCAGCGCGATGGTGGACACGCCCAGCGCTACCGCACTGATCTCGGCCAGATACCGGGGTGGCTTCTGCTGTACCTTCCTTGTTGATGAGGGAAGCTGCGATAAGTCGGCGCGGTGTTGAGGTGTTGGAGGTGCTTTTGTCTCCTCTGTCAATATAAAAAAATCGTAAAAAATGGGTCATCCAGATGCGGTTCCAGAACGGGTGGGTGTTGAAATCTAAGCTTTTCAAATAGGGTTGCTGAATCAGGTGCGTTTCAATTCACCCGGATTCGACCCCAGGTGACAGAGGTTGAGGGAAGACATCATCACAGTAAACCCAACCTCGTCCCCAGTGCTGACTTTATTTCCAACCGTGTTTCCAATAGTAAACCATGGATAGTAAACTTTCTTCCTGTATCCTGATTCGATATCGCAATTGGCTAATGGATTTTTATCGTGTACTTGGTGTTGTTATTCACAACGTGCAGAACGTGTTTTCACGATCATTCGTCCACGCCTTCTCAAAAAAATTCCTTTCCTTTTCCAATTTGTTCATATTAATATGAAATGTGATACTGCATGTTGTCTCGATAAGATCGTAACAATGTGCTCGCGCTGCGACGAATTGACTCTGTTTTTACCCCAGACACCGCACACAAAAACGAACGATAATGTAACGCACATGCAGGCACCAGACTGTTCCTCATTTGCATACGTGTTCAAAAATCTTGCACATGCAAATGTCCAATACCAGGGTGAGAGAGCAGGTAGTGATGGGCACGTTCTGCTCGACACTCTGGGGTCGAGGTTGCAGTAAGCCAGTATAGATGACCGCTAAAATCAATTAAGTGACCCCAAAATATGGTTCTGATTATTGGCACTGAACAGCGCCCTCGAGCGCCATTAACAAAAAAAAATGGTCACTAATTATTGGCATCAAAACAAAAGCGCCATCGGTCGTTTTCATCAATTAGAATGGACATTGGAAATAATGATTAAAGGGCACTACTCTGGTTCAGAAAAGAATGTGTCCCATCAATTTCATCCACTACAAAATGATGGATATCTGCATAGCATGTTTCCATCCAAAATTCATTTCATGGGTCATTTGGCATCATCTAAATAATCCCTCTGAAAATTGACTATATATTTTTACTGACTAATATCTTGATCGACATAGGGTTTGTCAATGCGTACATTATCAAGGTTGATAAAAGAAATTGACTTTTCTGTTTTTAGGGTAAATGAACCACAATTTTACTCGTGACAGAATATCGGATAAAGCTATTTTTCAAAATGGCGAAAGGAGCAACTTCGTTCCCATGCCATCGATGCTGCTCTCTCTCACCCTGGTACTGCAGACATTTCACAATGTGTAAAATTAAGGTATGATGCCAATTCCCAACACCGCGAGTCAACGTTTGTTTTTGGCATGTGTAGGGTGCAGACTGAAGTAATTTGTCGTGACGTCAGATCGGAAAACACGTGATTCTTTCAAAGTTTCAATGTGATAATCCAGTGGCAGATCGGGGTTGGGGGGGGGGGGGAGGTTCAAACCCCACTCCCCCATTCCTCCCCCTATCATTAGTCATAACATTAGTCATAACATTAGTCATAACATTAGTCAGGGGCTGAACGGTTTTTCTTTCACAACCCCTCCTCCTATTGCCTCCCTCCCCCGTCCAGCTGCTGACTAATGCTATGATATGAAAAGCATCGTAAATTTCACAATTGTCCGGGGGAGGGGGGAGGGGGGAACCCCAATCCCCGCGTGCATTTGGCACACCTTCACCCATCCCCTTCACATCACCCCTCCCCCGTTTCATAGCTAGATCCTCCCATGTTATCTTTTGGAGCCGACAGCCATATCCATTGATGGAACCGTTTATCATTATATGTACATGAGTTAACTTCCCAATAGCAGACAGTGTTTCTCAAACCCGCCCCTCCCCCTCCCTGACGACATCCGGAAGCTCAAAGTTCCGGTAAATTTGAGTCATATTCAGCAAAAAATAAATATTGTACTCGTTCCCACAAACTGGCTATGACCAGCACACCTTCTATTCTGTGCAATCAATCAGCTTCTTAAAACCTTGCCGTATGTATTTATATTCAAATGTCTTTTATCGTCATATCATTATCTCAGTAGCATTTCTGTTTATGTCTGACTTTAGATTTCTTTTATTTTGCTGATTCGTGCACTTATTTATTGACTTTAAACATTTCTTAATCGGTGGCGCACCCCAGGGGTGCGTAATTTTTTATTTAGTCCCACGATTTGACCTTGACGATAAGAATGTGGCCTATTTTCGAGTGATATAATAGGGGTGTGAGTGGCGCTACCAACGTCAAAATGGTCCGCCCCTGAAAAAAAACCCCAATTTTCTTTCTGCGGCCAAAAATTGAGGGCAACATTTTTGAAATTTGTTTTTGAGCCCCTCCCCCAAGCCAAATCCTGTGTGCGCCACTGTTCTTATTTTGTTCATTTTCAATGTTTATTTCGTATTGAGTTCCTCCAAATTAGCCCTTTTTTTGTTCATTTTCAATGTTTATTTCGTATTGAGTTCCTCCAAATTAGCCCTTTTTTGAGCCATTAAAAAGATGACCCCTGCATAGTGAGGTACTTTTCTTTCATATCTCTTAGCACTTCACTATTTTTTTGTATTCGGGTTTTTGTCTCAAAATTGCAACATCCATAGGAAACAAATGTTCAACAAAAATTAGTTCATTTTACAAAAATTTATTTATTTAAGCTTCATCATTCAAGAGCTAAAAGTACTGCCGCAAGTAGAAATAAATGTCAAAATATATTATTATCGTCAAAATATATCATTTCTGGTAAATCTGTCATAATTTACATCAAAACTTATGGTACCTTTCTTTAGAAACATAGATTTTTCAATATGAGGCCTAAAATTCATTATTTACATTGGTAATTTCACTGTCTGCAACCATCATTTTGTTCAAACCACAGTAATCATCCAAACGTAATAATCATAAAATATATATATCATTTCCGTATTTCAAAAGAACCTTTTCTACAACTCGGTTAACAATCTCTCAATCTACATTGCACACCTCGATTTTCTATCAGTTTTTTTTCAATTTTTTCATTTTGTTTTAGTATATGCCAAATATTCAATTTCTAATCGACTTCCAATATAGTTCACATTTGAATGAAAATTTAAAATTTCAAAGTAATAAAATCACTAGACTAAAATAAACTGCTATATTCCGATGTAGCAAATTAATGGAATGACTTGAAGTAGGCCTATATTACAAAAGTTATAAAATGCGTTTAAATCCTACAAGCATATACATGTATATATATATTACTTAATGCACTGTTAATAAGCATATAAAATTAATTAAAAATAATGCAATTATGTTCCTGTAACTCAGCTCTTCATTCCAATATATTATGCTAAACTATTAAATGTTATCAATTTCCTTGCCAACAGGCTACATGACAGCAGGTGACATGATAAGCTACATAAAAGATGTACTCCTCGAACTATTTTCGAGTTTCACCTTAACAAATGTTTTTTTTTTTTTTGCAATTGCCGTTTTATAGCAATATAAAAGTTATTCACTGTTGAATGAGACATGGACGTGTAGTTATTGAATTATTTCTTCCTAAAATTCGACTTATTGTCTGCCAGACAATAATTCGGCTCTAGCAGAGTGGGTTGATTGTTTTTTGGCGCAAAATCAAAGCAATTTTTTTCATAAAGTTGCAGACGCCCAAAATCGGATAAAGGAGCACTTTCGCTAACATACAAATTAAATTCGTTTTTTTTTTTTTTGGTAAAACAGGATGAGAATCTAGCTTACACGATGAAGTAACAAGACACTCGTGCGCATGCCCAGGGTCACGTGCCGTAGTGTTCCATAACATTTAATCCAAATACGCAAAACCAAATTTAGATATAATGGAGGAAGAAAAGATGTCCCTTGGAGTTCAACTAATCATCGGAGGCCGCCTCTGCGATGACTTGAGCAGGCATATTTTTGGGGCTGTTTCGACTCCATTTCTTGAAGAATTTAATCTGGAGGGGCAGAAGCTCCTCCTTCAGTTCCAAGACTTTCTTCTTCAGGTCCCATTTCTCTTGCCAGGTGGGTGCCATAATAGTCGTAAGAAGTCCTGTGAAATTTCAAGAAGGGGTGAAGACAGTTAGACGCCGTGGTCAAGTAGTTTCAGGTGGTTTTTTTTAGAGTAGGGCTCATGCGCCACAAATTGATTTCAAAGAGAGTATGGGATAAAAGTCTGTGGAGTTATCTTTGTGAAAGCTGAATTTGTTTAATGTTGGGCAATTTGAAAAGAAAAGATATGCTCGAGCTTTGCTTCAAAGAAAAAAAAATGCTATGATACACGTATTGCATGCATGCTTACCGGCCAATTGAAGTCCAGACGGGCAAACCAGCGAATATTAAAATCTCCAGCGAGCACTCAGAACTAAATTTAATTCGACAGTTCCAAACCGACTCGTTCTTTGTTTTGTTCTGTGCATGGAGTCTGTTCTCCTTCCGGGTGCATCCTAACATTCTCTTTGGGCACATTTTGCTGCAGACATTTTCGAATCAAGGTTGCTGTGTTTGGCAAGTTTAAAGGGCCCATGAAATGTAATTTCTTAATGCAATCCTTGAAAATGCACCTTTGTGTCCCATTTAACCATATTTTAACTTTTGTTTTGCAATTTTTAAGGGTATTTTGGGGCCTTTTATTTGTTTATGCTAATGCAAATTTCCACAAGTATGAGCAAAATGTGTGATGTCATTTCAGGCAGAAACCTCAATGTTACAGTTACTTCAGCACAAAAAGTTTCCAGAATTTTGAATATTTGCTGACGTAAATTGTCTTTTCTTTAGTGATTCGTTGTTGTGTCAGTACATGGCAGTAAGCCAGTGATCAAACTTTTCTCAAATATGTTTTCAGTGAGCAAATATTTGGGTTCATAATGTGAATAGAAAGCCTCTAAACTGAAAATAAAATGTCTTCCTGAAATGCATCACAGCAACAGCGCCCTCGGTTGTCCGGAAAAGCATGGATTTTTTTTATAAGTCTATCAAGAAGTGCACATTTCAATAAAATTAACCAAAACTGAATGTCAAATAGTTTTCATACATTTTAAGAGGAATAGAAAGTTGCACGTGTTTCTAAAAAAATCATTTCATGAACCCTTTAAGCTGATAAGTCGAGACACTATTATTCGTCATGCGCTCTAGATGCGAGTCACTATCACGCGACAACAACGATCCAGATGTTGAAATGGACAGATATTTGAGATTCAATTTGCTCAAAAGAAAACTTGATTGTAAAAGAAAAGAAAATAAAGTGTTATAAAGAATAAGCTACAAATACAATGGAGTACTAATTCGAAAAAAAGGGCTTTGCATGCACCACCATAAAATAATAAAAGCATTTTCATGTGATTAAAACCCAATGCCATTCATTTTCATTTCTTGTTCATTATATTTCACCATTTACATTTTGATTTATTTTTGATTGTTTGTTGAATTCCAACTTCTTCCAAAGTTTACTGTGTTTTAGTGACGAGAATTGGCTGCAAGTCCGGTGTCATATGAATTTTGGACTCCGATGGAATCGGGTCCATTTTACCTTATATAGACTGCAACCTTCACACGTGACATGTTATACTGTCCTTATTATCTTCAAGGGCATGCGCAATGCAACCAACGAGTCTGTGTTTCATAGAGTTTTAATTTCACACCACACTCGTATGAACTTAATCGTATTTTAAAAGAAATTCATCGACCATAAACGTAGGTACCATTATTTTGATGTGGTAGTTATTATATCCACACAAAAACAAGCATGCAATTACGAGAAATTCGTCGTTGACACTGAAAGTCGCAGTTGACACTTTGCTTTAACTGAGAAAAAAAATAATAAGAAATGGGAAAGCAGGATTCTGACAAGGAGTTTAGCAGTTCGGCAGTACGAGGGATTTGGGATTTGGCTGCACACTATTAAAAGTCTCTGGTCCGATTTGACCGACATTGTCAAAAAATGGATCAGAATGACACTTTTGTCAAGAATTCCCTGTCGAAATTACCCGGTTAATGAGTCAGAACGCACATTCCGGGTCAATCTGACTAGGTACTTTTAAGAGAGCATTCTTCACTCGATTCACTGTCGATTCACTGAGCTCTGGGGTTAATTTCACGGAGCTAATCGCATAGAATTTTTGCTCAGCAGAAACAAGCTATACCAGCCAAAATTTCACGTGATGTACACAGTCATGTACATATTTTGACTGGTTCCCTATCGGCTTGTGCTAACCTAATTATTTTCTGCTTAGCATCTCCATGAAACTGAGCCTTAAAAGAAACACTGGCTGCTGTGACTTCAATAAAAGAGGTTTTAAAAACCGCGGCCTCGCCTCCAACCTCGGCTCACCTCTTGCTCTCACCCCCATTTAAAGCCCTTATCGTCCAAACCAAATAGAGACATTTCAGGTATGGGCCTTGCGTTGTAGAAAATGGGATGAATTTTGGTTGCGGAGTTCCACAAGTCCCGAACCAAATTCGAAAGACAAAGTCGAGGCTTGCAAAACGCCATAAAATCACAATCGCGTCACAGTGACAGTGTTATTAGAAAAGCACAAGGAGTATGTTAGTGGCAATTGGCGAACTTTTTCTTTTTCTTTCGATTTGAAATAAGAATCATTGCATGAGAATTAGACTTACCCTGGGGTCGCTGTGTCAGGAGAGGCTTAGTGGGAACCACAGTTGATGGAAGGTCAACGCAGCAATCTGCTGTGGATTATAATTCACGCCAAATGCTAATACAATGACTACTTTGTTTTAATGATGTGTTATTTAGTACACGGAGGGTATTATAAATGAAATGTAAACAAATTCATGTGTTATTGTGCATACAACATTGCACAAATTATTCACAGCACTTATGGCACGAAGTTTTTGTGTATAAAAAAAAATCAGAAAGGTGTGCTACATGTCCTCCGTGGGGAATTTAAATTATGGACGAATGTGGTCACGCGACCACTGCACACACACGGATGCCGCCTTTAATGGCGACCAACGGGACCTGCCGATGGCTGCCTATGATTCACCGTGATTCTTACCATGAATATCTGTCGATATGTGGGCGACTTTCAAGCGACGTGCCGAGATGTACGTGAATTCTGCTGTGACTGTGCACGGGGTCCTCGTGGCCCAGCGGTCGCATTTGCTGATTGCCAGCAGGTCGTTGTCCCTGTGAACGGCGGCGGGCGGCGAGAGCCCGGCCGACGGGGCGGGAGACGCCGACTCCCGGGGGACGGGGTGGCCGTTGATCCGCCAGCTCAGCTCACCCTCGAAGTTGCAGTTTTCGCTGGCATTCACGGTGGTGAAGTTGCCGTTGCTGCGTTCGTGCAGACTTAGATCTGGTTCTGTTTTGAAAGAGGGAAAGAGTATCGAAACCAAACCTCACAATTAGCCAAAATGGTGGAACTTCATACCAGGTTATCTGAGTATTGCAGAGTTATTGTCTCTCTTAAACACTTCCACCGCAATGACACAATAAATGCAACAAAACAATCGATGCATTCGCTTATTGCATATAAAAATTAAACGTTTCACATTTGTGCACACTGCAACACATTATATCCGAGGACGACGGGAACCATGACTCAAACTGCTTGCGAAAACTTCTTTCGTTATCAATATTCAATCGTTGTGGAAATAAATCAATCGTCCTTGAATTCGTTGAAACTCATTTTCAAACCTTTTTTTCTATAGTAAAACAAATGCGTTTCAGTTGGATACTGTTTTTTTTTAAAGATTAACAGTGTAGAATCAAAGCTCAAGCGATTCAGTATTGGGACAAAAATATGCATTTTGTTCTTAATTTCACTTTTTCATGATATCGTTGAATCCTTATGGTATAAAGCATTTTGAACCCGACTGGTGGAGTAAAGTTCATATTTACCCTCGCATACGGTAACGTTCGTCTCGGGGGTCCGATTACCCGGTTCGCCACTGCGGGGAATCTCTGATGTTGGTTGCGGCTGACCGTTTGGAAGCACCACGCACCCGTACGTGCCGGCAGCCTGCAGAGTGGCTGTCATGACGAAAATCGTGCTTGATAAGCAACGTCCAGTATAGCAGCTGCAATTTTGGGACGATGTCGGATTGCTGGCTTGCACGGGTCTAACGTCTCCCATTTCGCTGTTACCCTCCACTTTGTACAGAAAGCTCTTGTATTCACAGTCCGCGTCCGGGGTTACGCCGGTACAGATCAGCCTGATCTGTCCTCCTTCTGGTACGCTCGGATTCAAAGGTCTCAGTGTGGCCGTTATGGTTGCGGCTGAAAAAAAATATAATATTGTTGGTAATTCTCAACAGGCGAACAGCATAACAAGGTGAAGTCTAAAGTAGTTATTTAACTCTCGATTTTGTTTTCACATTGATGAAATTAGACAACACAAGCCTTGTAAAGCTGGCCACAGAGAGCGCAAAATTTATATTAAATTATTGATGGTCACGTGTACCCAACGTCCAGATTGAGCCAATTATGCGGTAATCCTATTCAATAGCACTGCCCGACTGTCTTCACCTGTGCCGTTTGCCTTGTTGCCCTAATGACTGATACAGAGATTCATCAGTTTGACTAACCACTGCCTTTTCCTTGCCTTTGATGAATACTGAACCGTTTTACGGAATGCATGTAATTTGAGCAGGGAAGTAGAATTCGAACATATAAGAATCAACATCCATACAAAAGATAATCTATGTTTTGCAATGATCTATACGAATTTAATGCAGATATAAATTAAATATCAAGACCTCTCTCGAAAACAAATTGGGAGCAACAGCATGGGCGTCGCCAGTATTTTTTTCTACAGGGGGGCAAAGCACATTTTTTTTCAAATTCCCTATACTTTTCCAGCATATTCTCGATATACCATTTGTTTCGAGGGTGGGCAGGGACATTCCCCCGGCCCATTTAATTAACAGCAACATGATTTCGCGCCCGTTCTTTTTTCTTTTTTCCCCTCTTTTTTTTGGGGGGGGGGGGGGTTCTTGTCCGTGTGTGTGTGTGTGTGGGGGGGGGGGGGGAGGGCGCCCGCCTTGCGACGCCCATGGGCAACAGTTTACATAACCGAATACTAGACAGCATAAGAGAAAGTAAAGTTGAAACACGGCCATAGTCTAAGAATATCAGTCTGTACAGCCGGGATGCAGGACACAGCTGTCGATGAAATGCTGAGCAAGGCGCAGCATGACATGCAAAACGTGCTCTAGCGTGCACAGGTTAATCATCACATGGTTTATAATTACTGGAGAAAGTTGCAATACTAATGCAATGAATTAACTTAAGTCAACCATGAACATTGCGCATGGATCGAAGGACATAAAGGTAATGAAGGACCATGGAATGAGCTTTTCTGCCCGCTCTATTACAGAGTAACATGTATAAACCGACGATAGATATTATTCGTTTTGATTACTACTTTTCTAGCAACATAAAGTGTAACTCACTTTTAAATGAGACATTGACCGAAAAAATGGCCCACGTTTAGAAGTTGTGGATTAATGACTGTACACGTTATACAATGCAACTGCAACCCGTCAATATGTTCTCGCAGGGTACTCTGGGCGGCCCTTAGACTCGATAATTGTTGTTTTTTACCCCTATTGTCAGTCCATCGTTGGCCATTGTTTGTGTTTCATTCGTACTTGTCTATTGGTGTGTTTGTTTTTCTTTAAATTCTTTGCAATCGCTTTTGATTTTTACAGTTTTGCATTTAAGTGTAGGCACGCCCCTATATAAGCTTCGGTTTTTAAAAATAATTCCTCCATCTTAATATAACAACTTAGGCCCCTATTGATCTTAAGGTGCTTTTAATCTGCTTTCGATGGAAATAAGTGTTATTGAAATAAACTATGTGTGCGCAAAGGCAACTCAAAATGAAAGCCTTTCAGAGAGTTTTAGCTGTCAAAGAAAAGCAAGTTTTTCGTTTAATAAAGAAAACAAAACACTCAAAGTTCATTTGAAAGGAGACGAAAGTCGCCAAAACACAAATCGTGCAAACGAATATGCCTCTAGATTGTAATGATATGCACGCCCAGTTTTACAATTTCTACAGCTTTTCTATTCCCTCCTTAAAGACAGTGTCACATGTGGACTTTTTCTGAAGTTGTTAGATTGGTTTATAAAAGAATTTCAATATACTAGAAACACATCAAAATATACTGTGAAGCTTATTTCCTGGAATGCAATAATGGTATATACTCTTGAAATAGGGGAACTTTCGAAATGGGATGGGAACCCAACGTATGGATTGACTTGAGGGGGAAACTTCACACTGAAATGTTCATGCAATGAATTCCATTAACATGAAACAAAATCATGTTGTTATATATTCCTATAATTTCATATTCCTTTACACACTGCGAAAACTGCAGTGCGGATTTAACACCAGTTTGCTCTATTAGTGCAAAATGTATTAAAAGAAGTACGAATTTGACAGAACACTCAATGCAATACATGCGTTATTATGAAGCAAAAGACAGACAACGAACAAACATGAAGCTTCTTCGGCATGCACCGTTTTCATTATTCAGAGTGAGTGATTTTGTTAAGCTGAATAAACTGTCCGATATGTGTTCTCAACTTAGCGCAGAAAGAAAGCAAAGCTGTCCGATATGTGTTCTCTTGCTCCATGGTGTTCTCAACTAAGCGCAGAAAGAAAGCAAAGCTGGCCGCATGCATTGTGACTGCAACGGGAGCGATTGAAACTCACGCTGTGCATCTGACTCGGATGTGGAGCGTAAGCCACGGACACGGTACACCAAGGATGACCATTCATCATCACCACTACCATCAATTATCACTAAACATGACCAAACAGACATACAAACAAACATCTGAAATTTTGATTTTGCTCTTCACCAACTTAATGAATTCAAACATTCAGTCTGTATACTCAGTGCTGGCAGATTTTGTGTGAAACGGAAAACGGGACAAACAAACCGTAGCTGGTTATCTTATACCATTTTGTATGGTTATTTCACAACACATTTATTATAGGTTTATACATCTGAATATTTTGATGTGAAATAAACATTGCCCGTAGTATGCCAGATGAAATAATCATGCAAAACGGTGATTTAACAAGCACCACATACGTTTGCCGAGCCGCATGTGTATACGTGTCGTCCCGTACGCATACCATTTCTAATGGTCACTCGGTTTTGCCCCTCACCGAAGTAATTTTGTCTGCACTGTTTACTCAGTAGTGGTGTGACTATACGGTTAGTTCGGGAACCGGCTACCCAGTTGAAGTAAAACACGGATACCCAGGTACCCGTAAAAGAAACCCAACCCCAAAATTCAAATCCCGGAAGTCGTCTGAAGGGCTTGATAGCTTGGCAAGTTAAACTGGAACTATCACGAACATCATCTGCACAATAAACGTGGAATCTGTATTGATCTTCCATGTAGCCTGGTTTCATTTTGGAAATTCCCCATCAATGACATTCAAAATCTTTTATTACATTGTCTTAGAATTGCTGGCTATTTGTAAAACTGGGTATACGGATACCCGATCCTTAACCTGGAATCGCTTACTGTCATCGGCGGTCGGGTACTCGGGTAATCCGGCTTGATGCATACCTCTAATACTCAGAGTAGTCTTTGGACTTGCGAAGAAAGAAAATGACGAGCTGACCGGTGGGACTCGAACCCTCGACCTCCTGAATGCTTACTATGAAAACGTCTAAACTATACTCGACTACTGCAAACTCTGATGGGCTTTACCCCCAAATGAGCAAAATAATCTCGCAGTCAAATAATCTTTCGAACATTTCATCGACAAGACTTGTTTCCCCCAAAAAATTACATAGGCCTACATGTCTTTGTAGTGTAAACGCAACTGACCCCGTTTTTCCAAGAATGAATGTCAAACTTTTTCAGCCTAGAGTAACATTCAAGCTGTGTACGCCGCCTGTGTGGTATTATGTGGTATATATTTCATGAACACAAAATTGTCTAATCTGATGATATGTGTCTGGTTGTTTAAGCGCAGGCCCATAGGCAGGCCTACGTATACATATGCTCAGTACACTGAAGAATTGCACTTAATTTTACCAAAGAAAGGGTGAAAACTGGAACTACCCAAACTTGGGTTGTTCTATAACCAATTGTCTGGGTTAAAATTCATGTTAAATTCAACCAAAAGCTGTAGTCATACAAGACAAATTAAAATTTGGTCTTGAATGACCACAAGTTTTGGTTGAATTTAGCAGAAAATTCTAACCCAAACAAATGGTTATAGAACAACCCAAGTTTGGGTAGTTCCAGTTGTCACCCTTTCTTTGGTAAAATTAACCCAGGCAATTTTTCAGTGTACTGTGTTCTGTGTGATTTATAAAACACGAAGGCCAACATAATACGAAATGGCAAAACACAACGGCTAGCACATGTTGAAACATCACAGTGAATGTCATGTACACACACTGCACAAAGTAATGCTGTACGCAGCAGGTAAACATCATGACTAATAATACCACTGCTACTGCGCCGTGCCATATTGTTGCGCCATTGTGCACTGAAATAAAAGCAACAATCTGTTTGAAGTAAACCATACATTCAGTAATAAACAGCTTTTGTTCGCAGACTTACCTGCCAGGTGGGCAGACGGCAACACGCACACCAATAGTGCAGATGTCATAAACAGACTGCAAAGAAACATCTCCATTTTGGTGCCAATAGGTTGGTGTACAAGGCAAGTGAATGTATCGGTCTTATGAGGCCTAAACAGTCGATGGGTACTACGCAGTCAAGAATGAGAAACGAACGAGTTTGCAAGACGCTGCGTGTGGTTCTCTTCACTTTCCTTCTCACTGAGTCGAGTGTTTGCGATGTCTGATCTCCTGACCTGAACCCTTCTCCTATTTATCGACAAAAACATGAGCAAGGGACTGTCCCTTCTGAGCATACAGGAAGAATCTATTTGAGGAACCAACCACACAGTGACGGTGACGTCATTGTTATTTCGCCAGACTGAGGGTGAGGAAAAAAATGGAAAGTGGTCGCTTGTAATATCCATGCAGTATTCCGCAGGAAGTCAACTGCTTTTTAATCATGTGGAATGTTGATTTTTCGAAAAGTTGTTCCTCATTGCGGTTATATGATGTGATATCTTTATCCTTGCCAAAATAATAATATTGTTAATATTAGAGGAAATTTTTTATTTTTTTCCAAAACGCAAGAGGATTTGAAGACAGAATTGGTATCTCCATCGTGTGTCTTCGTAATGCTTCGGTTGGAGCACAGCCAAGGGGAAAGTAATGACATCTTTTTTGGGGACAAATATTTCTTTCTTACAAGTCAATTCTGCTTGGGGTTTGACAGATCTATTTGTGAGAAAATCCCCCGATAATTTTAGACTTTTTTATAGGAAATTACATAAAGTCAGGGGAAGGGAGAAACTAACAACGTGTCACTTCCTTCAAATATTTGAGCCAATCACCAATCTTCGTGATTTTGCTTTCTTCCAACTTGTCTGTCCCTCTTCCTAAATTCGGGGGTCACTCATCCCTTGATAATGCTATTCAATAAACCGGCGCCCACTTCCACCCCCTTTGGTTAACAGTCAGCTCGATGTGGTCATGAACGCTGATCATCCTCTGACTGACGAACTTCAAATGTATTAACATTGAAAGCGAGGCTCTTAATGTCAAATCATTTGGAGCTTAAGGAGTTATTCTATTGGGGTATACCAGATGTTCCCCAATACCTATGTTCCCCAAAATCCTTAGGGTTAGGGTTAGGGTTAAGGTTAGGGTAAGGGTTAGGGTTGGGGAAGATAGGTACTGGGCAACATAGGTATAGGAACAAAGGTATGCACCCATTCTATTTGAAGACCCTAAACAAAGGAGAGCATAGGGGGCCTCGCTTTGCATATAGTAATTTGAAATTCGTCTACAGTGCTACCATCCACTGCTAGGCCGTTTCAACCAGACGGTACCAATCATGAGCACAGTGACGGTGTCACCTTGGAGGCTTCCACACTTGTTGTTCTCCCTACCGACGCTTCCTGTCATTGAACTTCAGTGTAATGCTTCGATGATGCTCCATGTTTTGGAGCATGTACAATGAACTTTGTCCGCACCGTATAATGAAAACGCAGCGGTCATGCATGCGCGTCGTAATGGTATTGGCAGGTGTTGGTTCGGATGCACATTTCCGTACGACCTCCACCGCGTATAATCAATTGAATAAGCAACATATTTCCCTTAAGGTGATGTTAAAATGGTTTGCATACAAAATCAATCTTTTGGAGCGAAAAACAAAAAAATACCACTAGCCTACCCAGTGGGAAATCGAACCCTGGTCTCCTGAGTGACATTCAGAGATACTAACCACTATACTAAGGAGGATTGGCGACAATGAATAATTAACTCAGCTTTTTTACCGTGACAGACATTGAACCATATGAAAAGGCAAAAGAAAACCCTAAATGCCTCCCCGGCGGGGAATCGAACCCCGGTCTCCTGAGTGACAGTCAGAGATACTAACCACTATACTACCGAGGATTGGTGACAATGAGCTGTTAACTCAGCTTCTTTACCGTGGCAGACATTGAACGATAAGAAATGACAAAAGAAAACCCTAAATGCCTCCCCGGCGGGTAATCGAACCCCGGTCTCAATGACAGTCAGAGATACTAACCACTATAATACCGAGGGACGGTGTTAATGTTCAAATTACAACGTACTCGTCTTCAATCAATGTATTGTACAACGCTGTCTGATGGCGTTTTGTTTCTCATAAAAACGTGCATTATCTTTCCCAATTTGACACAATTTCCCGATAAACACAATATCGGAACAAGGCAGTCTTTAATTTCTCTAAACCGCATTTCTGGAAAGTACTACGACCGGGGGCTATTACATATGCTCCTAACTGCATCTTAATATAATATATTCAACTCATGATCTAAGTTCATCATCTATTCAAACCCTAGTCTATGTACATCCATTCAAATCCTAATCAAAGTTCATGTGTTCAAATCCTAATCTAAGGTCATCTTTTCAAATCTTAATCTATGTCATCTATTCAAATTCTGTCTAGGTTCATCTATTCAAATCTTTATCTGAAATCATCTATTAAAATATAAATTCATCTGTGCAATGATTTTCTCGGAATCCTTGAGGAACATATTGGATATCAGTCAAGAAAGCCAGTCCGTGATAGCTGTTCTCCTGGGGTATATCAAGACAGCATAGAGCGTCGTAAAATGTTCAGGAGGTTGTACGTTCGTTTCTATTCCAGTCACTTCTCTGTCTTTTTGATTAAAACTAGATCATGTTTTCCATCGTGGTTTAGTTGATGAATTCATTATTCATCAGTCTTCATTTCCGTGTTGGCTGTTTAGGCTAATTTTAACCAGACAGCACCAATCATTACAGTGACTGTATTACCTTCAAGGTCCCCCACATGTTATTTCCACGAGGCATTTCATATCATTGAACGTCAATGTACTGAACCTGTTCCGATGATGTATTAGGCCCCCCCCCCAAAAAGTCTCCGTTTTCTAGTATGCGCGCGTCGCCGTAGCCATGCGAGTTTGCAAAATTAAAACGTTTTTTTTTTCAATGTAAGATGATGTCTCAAAACCGCCAAACTCACTTGTTTGACTGTAATCCTGCTGCTGCACAATTTTAATGTGTTTTTAGATGGGGTTACGATCGAGTATGAGCTTTATGTGGCCTCACTGCGCTGCAACATATTTTGCACTAAATTTAGTCGGGCACCATTTGCAGACGGTGTTGTAATTTTGTGAATGTGCGTCTGGAAGCCAGACTGACGGAGCGATGGTCGTGTATCTGGAACCTGTAAACGCTTTTTAATTAGCGCCATACCAGAAACCGGAAAACTTTTTGGGCCTTATATTGGAGCTTTGGGATTGGAGCGTGAAGTTCAATGTACTTCGGCACCAACTATAATGAAAACGCAACGTCATGCAAGCGAGGCGCATGGTTTGCCATGTGTTGCGGATCCAGGATGTGCGTGTTCCGTACGACCCCAGCTAGAAGTCAGGTGAGCAAGACACGTATACTGTCCGTGCTAATCAACAAATTGGATTTACCCCGCCCCCTTTTTAAACTGGTTTTATTTAAACAAAAGTAAAACTATTTTTCTATATTAAGAATTGTATCCTGAGGGCCTAGAGACTGTTTCTAAGTCACTACATTATCGATCCTGATTCTATATGGCCAGGGGCAAACCTAACACTGGAAGGCCTCAATTTTGGGGCCGAAAAGCAATTGATTTTGTAAGTAATTATCCCAAATTAAGCCCTTTTTTTCAATCTTCGATCACCTCAATCAAAAGTAATAAATATGTATCGAAGACAGTGAATGATACGGGCTGGCAAAAACAAAAACACAAAAGCCTACCCAGCGGGTAATCGAACCCCGGTCTCCTGAGTGCCAGTCAGAGATACTAACCACTATACTACCGAGGATTGGCGACAATGAGTAATTAACTCAGCTTCTTAACCGTGACAGACATTACACGATACGAAATGACAAAAGAAAACCCTAAATGCCTCCCCGGCGGGAATCGAACCCCGGTCTCCTGAGTGACAGTCAGAGATACTAACCACTATACTACCGAGGATTGGCGCATGAGTAATTAACTCAGCTTCTTTACCATGACAGACATTAAACGAAACAATATGACAAAAGAAAACCCTTAAGAGATACTAACCACTATACTACTGAGGATTGGTGACAATGAGTAATTAACTCAGCTTCTTTACCATGACAGACATTAAACGATACAAAATGACAAAAAAACCCTAAATGCCTCCCCGGCGGGGAATCGAACCCCGGTCTCCTGAGTGACAGTCAGAGATACTAACCACTATACTACCGAGGATTGGTGACAGTGAGTAATAAACTCAACTTCTTTACCGTGACAGACATTGAACCATACAAAATGACCAAAAAAAACCCCCTAAATGCCTCCCCGGCGGGGAATCGAACCCCGGTCTCCTGAGTGACAGTCAGAGATACTAACCACTATACTACCGAGGATTGGCGACAATGAGTAATTAACTCAGCTTCTTTACCGTGACAGACATTGAACCATACAAAATGACAAAAGAAAACCCTAAATGCCTTTGCGGCACCATTCTTGTGAGTGACGGTAAGATCATAGGTTAGGATAATAGGGTTAGGATAGGAATGAGGTTATTCACGATCTTCTTTATTCGTCATATAGATAATCTTCATAAGGTAAAACGAAAATTTTCATGAGAGGGTCAAGAAATGTGTGAACTTTTTTATATTTGAAATTGTAGATAGTAATAAATATTGACGGTGAACATGTGAGCGAAGCATTACATTCCCTGTCCCAGTTGCTCACCAGGGGGAAGTCCCTTTCGTTCCCGCAGCCTGGCAATGAAGAATGTCCTCAATCATCATTCATCTTGAAGGTGAAGGATTAGATTCTTGCATTCGATGAGTGTCTGACGTGACTGCGGGACCTGCGCTCGACCAATGTTCTTTCTACCGCGAAGTGTGACATAGCCTGAACGTGCACATAAGCACTAATTTCCTTAATAACTGGATGCATGGTCCCTCTTTCAATTCAGTGCTTGCGTCATGTTTAAAGACTTAGGGCTTATAGAGCCTTTGCATATTAATATCCACAAAAACTTACTTGGATTAAAGTGTCCATGAAAAGAATATTTCTAAGGAGCGTATTATTATTGCGCAGCTTTCTATTGTGCTTATAGATGTATTAAAACTATTTGACATCTCCTTTTTTATTTTATTTTATTGCAAAGCGTATACCTCTCAGAACGTTGTTATTATTATTATTATTATTCTGGTTTATTAATCATTGTGTTTGTAGCCAGAGGCTAAATTGTCACAATGCGTCAAATTAAAAGCACAAAATCAGAAATACAAATTTACTAACACATTTACCATCACACATACAAATATCAGAATACAGTACATTAAAACAAAAAATGAGTTAAGATTTGCACATCGGAATATAAGAAAGGCGCACTCTACCAGAATAGTACATGATAAGAAATTGTTTTTCCCTAGGAATGCAGTACATGAATAAAATAGGATTTTGTATTATTGTATTTTATTTATGTTTTTATGTTTGATTATCAAATTCTAGTATGAATGGGAGTTAAGACTTGGAACTGTTGTTCAAAAGCTCAACAAACTATGGGATGGGGCTATTCTGGTATCGTTTAGTCTTGCACATCATTTTGGATAAGTTGTCACTGTTTCTAAGCTGATATTGCACATGACTACTTCTCGGCTGAGGTAACCAGTCCTGAAATAAGCTAGGGTGTTTCAGTTTGTTAGCGAAGTCAAGACAGAGATCCATTCGACGGTTTTGAAGAGAAACTAAATTGCATTTCATTAGGGCATGCTCATAATCAACATAATCAAATCCCAGTATAATTTTGAGGGCACGTTTTTGGATGCTCTCCAGTTTATCAACATGAACTTTAGTTAACCCTGCATTCCAAACCTGTGTAGCATATTCAGTGAGTGGACGAATGTAGCCTTTGTATAAATTGTTAACAAGTCTTAAAGTGATAAGTTAAATGTCTTTAACAATTTGAGCATAAACATTTTGCTGTTAGCCTTATGAAAGATGTGATCGATATGCTTGTCCCATTTGAGGTCTTAACTTACCAAAACGCCAAGAATTTTCACACAATCTACTATCTGAAGGTCAGTATCCGAAATCTGAATGGATGAAAACTGAGGTATATTTTTCATGAAACACACATTCATATACGCACATTTATCAGGATTGATTGTCATATTGTTTTGCACAGCCCATTCACTAAATTCATCTAAGACAGCCTGGATAACTATCGGTTCATTGTTTGTACTACTCTCAACAATGATCATCTACATATTTCAGACTCAGAATCTAACTGTTAGTAAGAGCCCCAAACCTCACTTTATCATTAAATTTGGCAAGAAAACCCAAGGGACAAAAATTAGTCCCCTGTGGAAGACCACCATTCAAAACATTGAATTCAGATAACGAGTTTTTGTACCTGACGCACTGTGATCGATCAGTCAAAAAACTGCATATCCAGGGGATAACAGATGAGCGTGTGCCCAAATGGAGTAAATCCTTAACACGAAGATTGTGGTCAACTAGATCAAAAGCCTTACTAAAATCAGTTATCACTATTGTGCTGTAACTTTTTGAAGATTCAGCATGCGAACACAAATTGTCAACCAGCTTGATAAGGTATTGAGCTGTTGACGCTCCTTTCATATTACCAAATTAAAGTTACAAACTTTTCCGGACAACTGAGTTCAGAGGTTTTCTGTTTAAATTGTGAACATGCGAAAACAACAGTTGCTTATTGACTTATTGCCATGACACAACGAATCACCACAGAAAAGAACATTTAAGACAGCAAAATATCCACAATTCTGGCAACTGTCAGTGCTAAAATAGCAGTTTCTACCCGAAATGACATCATGCTTTTTTACTCAAGGATTTAATTCGCGTAAGTTTAAAAACGAAAAAGTACTATAATAGCCTTAAAATGACCCAAAAAACACCATTAAAAATGGGACAAAAAGGTGCATTGTTGAGGATTGCATTTAAACAATTACATTACATATGTCCCCAACCCATTTTTTTTTTCTGCGGCCAACAATTTTGGGCAACAATTTTTGAAATTTGTTCTTGAGCCCCCCCCCCCCCCCAGCCAAATCCTGAGTGCGCCACTGTTCTTATTTTGTTCATTTCCAATGTTTATTTCGTATTGAGTTCCTCCAAATTAGCCTTTTTTGAGCCATTATAAAGATGACCCCTGCATAGTGAGGTTCTTTTCGTTCATATTTCTTTGCACTTCACTATTTTTCGTATTCGGGTTTTTGTCTCAAAATTGCAACATCCATAGGAAACAAATGTTCAACAAAAGTTAGTTCATTTTACAAAAATGTATTTATTTAAGCTTCATCATTAAAGAGCTAAAAGTACTGCCGATACACAAGTAGAAATAAATGTCAAAATATATTATTATCGTCAAAATATATCATTTCTGGTAAATCTGTCATAATTTACATCAAAACTTATGGTACTTTTCTTTAAAAACATTGATTTTTCAATATGAGGCCTGAAATTCATTATTTACATTGGTAATTTCACTGTCTGCAATCATCATTTGGTTCAAACCACAGTAATCATCCCAAACGTAATAATCATAAAATATATACATCATTTCCGTATTTCAAAAGAACCTTTTCTACAACTCGGTTAACAATCTCTCAATCTACATTGCACACCTCGGTTTTCTATCTCAGTTTTTTTTCGTCAATTTTTTCCATTTTGTTTTAGTGTATGCCAAATATTCAATTTCTAATCGACTTCCAATATAGTTCACATTTTAATGAAAATTATGTTCCTGTAACTCAGCTCTTCAATCCAAAATTTTATGCTAAACTATTACATGTTATCAATTTCCTTGCCAACAGGCTACATGACAGCAGGTGACATGATAAGCTACATAAAAGATGTACTCCCCGTACTATTTTCGAGTTTCACCTTAACAAATGTTATTTTTTTTGCAATTGCCGTTTTATAGCAATATATATGTTATTCACTTTTGAATGAGACATGGACGTGTAGTTATTGAATTATTTCTTCCTAAGATTCGACTTATTGTCTGCCAGACAATAATTCGGCTCTAGCAGAGTGGGTTGATTGTTTTTTTGGCGCAAAATCAAAGCAATTTTTTTCATAAGGTTGCAGACGCCCAAAAGCGGATAAAGGAGTTCTTTCGCTAACATACAAATTAAATTCGGGGTTTTGTTTGTTTTGTAAAACAGGATGAGAATCTAGCTTACACAATGAAGTAACAAGACACTCGTGCGCATGCCCAGGGTCACGTGCCGTAGTGTTCCATAACATTTAAACCAAATACGCAATTTTTTTTTTAGATATAATGGAGGAAGAAAAGATGTCCCTTGAAGTTCAACTAATCATCGGAGGCCGCCTCTGCGATGACTTGAGCAGGCATATTTTTGGGGCTGTTTCGACTCCATTTCTTGAAGAATTTAATCTGGAGGGGCAGAAGCTCCTCCTTCAGTTCCAAGACTTTCTTCTTCAAGTTCCATTTCTCTTGCCAGGTGGGTGCCATAATAGTCGTAAGAAGTCCTGTGCAATTTCAAGAAGGGGTGAAGATAGTTAGTAGTTTCAGGTGGGAGTTTTAGAGTAGGGCTCATGCGCCACAAATTGATTTCAAAGAGAGTATGGGATAAAAGTCTGTGGAGTTATCTATGTGAAAGCTCAATTTGTTAAATGTTGGGCAATTTGAAAAGAAAAGATATGCTCGAGCTTTGCTTCAAAGGAAAAAAAATGCTATGATACACGTATTGCATGCATGTTTACCGGCCAACTGAAGTCCAGACGGGCAAACCAGCGAATATTAAAATCTCCAGCGAGCACTCAGAACTAAATTTAATTCGACAGTTCCTAACCGACTCGGTCTTTATTTTGTTCTATGCATGGAGTCTGTTCTCTTTCCGATGCATCCTAACATTCTCTTTGGGCACATTTTGCTGCAGACATTTTTCGAAATCAAGGTTGCTGTGTTTTGGCAAGTTTAAAGGGCCCATGAAATGTAATTTCTTTTAATGCAATCCTTGAAAATGCACCTTTGTGTCCCATTTAACCATATTTTCAACTTTTGTTTTGCAATTTTTAGGGGTATTTTGGGGCTTTTAAAAAAAATTTGAGCAAAATGTGTGATGCCATTTCAGGCAGAAACCTCAATGTTACAGCTACTTCAGCACAAAAAGTTTCCAGAATTTTGAATATTTTGCTGACGTAAATGGTCTTTTCTTTAGTGATTCGTTGTTGTGTCAGTACATGGCAGTAAGCCAGTGATAAACTTTTCTCATAGATGTTTTTAATGAGCAAAATTAATGTTTGAGTTCATAACGTGAATAGAAAGTCTCTAAACTGAACAGTGTCTTCCTAAATGACATCACAGCAACAGCGCCATCGGTTGTCCGAAAAAAACATGATTTTTTTAATGTTTATTAAGAAGTGCACTTTTCAATAAAATTAACCAAAACTGGATGTCAAATAGTTTTCATATATTTAAGAGGAATAGAAAGTTGCACAAGTTCCTAAGAAAAAAAATATTTCATGGCCCTTTTAGCTGACAGGTCGATGCATCATCATTTGTCATGTGCTACAGATGCGATGTTTAAGTCACTATAATTTCAACAACAACGCTCCAGATATGGAATTAGACATGATATTTGAGATTGAATTTGTTCAGAACAAAACATAAAATAAAAGAGAATTAAAAGAAAATTAAAATAAATTGCCACAAACAATACGTTACTGCAAATTGGGGCTATTAAAAGAAATTCAATGAGCTATACAGAAGAGTACTAATTCACAAAAGAGGGGCTTTGCATGCGCCCTTATAAAATAATAAAAGCATTCTCGTGTAATTAGAACCAATGCCATTCATTTTCATTGCTTGTTCATTTTATTTCACCATTCATATTTGATTTATTTTTGATTGTTTGTTAAATTTCATCTTCTGAAAGTTTACTGGTTTTAGACGAGAATTGGCAGTAAGTCCGGTGTCATATGAATTTTTGACTCCTGTGGACCCAGGTCCCTTTTACCTTATATCGACTGCAATCGTCACACGTGACATGTTACTGTCCTAATTATCTTCACGGGCATGCGCAATACAACCAACGAGTCTGTATTTCATAGAGTTCTAATTCCCCAACACACTCGCATGAAGTAAATCGTATTTTAAAAGAAATTCATCGACCACAGGTGCCATTTGATGTGGTAGCTATATATCCACACAAAAACAATGAATTTTGGTTGCGGAGTTCCACAAGTCCCGAAACCAAATTCGAAAGACAAAGCCGAGGCTTGCAAAAAGCCATAAAATCACAATCGCATCACAGTGACAGTGTTATTAGAAAAGCAGAAGGAGTATGTTAGTGGCAATTGGCGATTTTTTTTCTTTTTCTTTCGATTTGAAAAAAAAGAATCATTGCATGGGAATTAGACTTACCCTGGGGTCTCTGTGTCAGGAGAGGCTTAGTGGGAACCACAGTTGATGGAAGGTCAACGCAGCAATCTGCAGTGGATTATAATTCACGCCAAATGTTAATACAATGACTACTTTGTTTCAATGATGTGATTATTGGGTACATGGTGGGTATTATAAATGAAATGAAACAAATTCATGTGTAAGTGTGCATGGGACAGTTTTAAATCCGACAGGGGTTGTAGTTGAAAAAAAGTGAAACTGAAATATAAATAGGAATAAAACATTGCACAAACTTTTCCCAGCACTTATGGCAGGAAGTTTTTTTGTGTAGCCAAAACAATATCAGAATGGTATGCTAGATGTCCTCTGTGAGGAAAGTTATGGACGAATCTGGCCATGCGATCACTGTAAACACACGGAGGCCCAAATCAATGGCGACCAGTCGATGGCTGCCTATGGGTGCACACCGGTAAATATGCCTAAACCCATCCCATGAGCTCATGAATAAAAAATTATACCCTCAAAATAGTCTATATTAGAGAGTTCTGAGAGCCATAACATTGAGGAATTGAAGAGATATGGCAATGAACCTCTGGCCCGGAATTGGGGATTCCAATTCTGAGCATTTTGGATGCAATTGGGCTCGAAAGTGGTGCTATATCTTGCCACGTTGTGGAGGGATCGTTTTTCAAGATGGCTACTTTTCCTCTTTGGGGAAATTGGGGGGGCGTCTTCTTTGGGTGAGAATATCTCGAAAAGTCAATGGTCAACCCACCAAAAAATGAAAAGAAAACGAAAGATGACATGTTGATCATCATTTTTCTGTGCAGCTTAAATACCTGTGAGAGTTCTGAGTATTTTTAAAAGAATTTTAAAATATGGGCATTTAGCACTGTAGTGTCTATGGGAATTTTAATGCAGGGGTGCACCCATTATGATTCACCGTGATTCTTACCATGAATATCTGTCGATATGTGGGCGACTTTCAAGCGACGTGCCGAGATGTACGTGAATTCTGCTGTGACGGTGCACGGGGTCCTCGTGGCCCAGCGGTCGCATTTGCTGATTGCCAGCAGGTCGTTGTCCCTGTGAACGGCGGCGGGCGGCGAGAGCCCGGCCGGCGGGGCGGGAGACGCCGACTCCTGGGGGACGCGGTGGCCGTTGATCCGCCAGCTCAGCTCACCCTCGAAGTGGCAGTTATCGCTGGCATTCACGGTGGTGAAGTTGCCGTTGCTGTATTTGTTCAGACTTAGATCTGGTTCTGTTTTGAAAGAGGGAAAGAGTATTGAAACCAAACCTCACAACTTAGCCAAAATGGTGGAACGTCATACGGGTTATCTGAGAATTGCAGAGTCTTTCTTAAACACTTTCACCGCAATGACACAATAAATGCGAAAAAAATATCGATGCATTCGCTTATTGCCTATAAAATTTAAACGTTTCACATTTGTGCACACTGCAACACATAATATCCGAGGACGACAGGAACCATGACTCAATCTGCTTGCGAAAACGTCTTTCGTTATCAATATACAATCGTTGTGGAAATAAATTAATCGTCCTTGACTTCGTTGAAACTCATTTTTAAACCTTTTTTTCTATAGTAAAACAAATGCGTGTCAGTTGGATACGTTTTTTTTTTTAAAGATTAACAGTGTAGAATCAAAGGTAAAGCGATTCAGTACTGGGACAAAAATATGCATTTTGTTCTTAATTTCACTTTTTCATGATATCGTTGAATTTTTTTGGTATAAAGCATTTTGAACCCGACTGGTGGAGTAAAGTTCATATTTACCCTCGCATACGGTAACATTCGTCTCGTGGGACCGATAACCCTGTTCGCCACCGCGGTTAATCTCTGGTGTTAGTTGCTGCTGACCGTTTGGAAGCACCACGCACCCGTACGTGCCGGCAGCCTGCAGAGTGGCTGTCATGACGAAAATCGTGCTTGAGGAGCAACGGTTAAAACGTCCACCAGCATTGCAGCTGCAATTGTGGGAGGATGTTGGATTGTTAGCTTGCACGGGTCTAACGTCTCCCATTTTGCTGTTGCCCTCCGCTTTGTACAGAAGGCTCTTGTATTCACAGTCCGGGGTTACGCCGGTACACTCCAGTCTGATCTGTCCTCCTTCCGGTACGCTCGGATTCAAAGGTCTCAGTGTGGTCGGTATGGTTGCGGCTGAAAAAAATATAATATTGTTGGTAATTCTCAACAGGCGAACAGCATGACAAGGTGAAGCCTAAAGTAGTTATTTCACTCTCGATTTTGTTTTCACATTGATAATATAAGACAACACAAGCCTTGTAAAGTTGGCCACAGAGCGCGCAAAGTTTATATTAAATTATTGATGGTCACGTGTACCCAACGTCCAGAGTAAGCCCATTACACGGTAATCCTATTCAATAACACTGCCCGACTCTCTTCACCTGTGCCTTTTGCCTTGGTGCCCTAATGACTGATACAGGGATTCATCAGTTTGACTAACCACTGCCTTTTCCTTGCCTTTGATGAATACTGAACCATTTTACGGAATACATGTAATTTGAGCAGGGAAGAAGAATTCGAACATATAGGAATCAACATCCATATAAAAGATAATCTATGTTCTGCAATGGCCTCTGCAAATTTAATGCAGATATAAATTAAATATCAAGACCTCTTTTTTGAAAACAAATTGGGAGCAACAGCATGGGCGTCGCCAATATTTTTTTCTACAGGGGGGCAAAGCACATTTTTTTTTCTCCAAAATCCCTATACCAGCAGATTCTCGATTACAGCCGAGATGGAAAACAGGGAACCAGTCTACAAACTGTCCGTGAAATGCAGATCAAGGCGCAGTATGACATGTCAAGCGTGCTCTAGCGTGCACAGGTTAATCACCACATGGTTCATGTTACTAGAGAAAGCTGCAATATTAATGCAATGAATCAACTTGAGTCAACCATGAACATTGTGCATGGATCCATGAATAAATTATAAAGGTAATGAAGATTAAATAAAAAAGGACCCGTGGAATGAGCTTTTCTGTCCGTTCTATTATAGAGTTACTTGTATAAACCGACAATAGATATTGTTTTGATTGCTACTTTTCTAGCAGCATAAAAAGTTACTCACTTTTGAATGAGAAATCGATCGAAAAAAATGGCCCACGTTTAGAAATTATGGAATAATAAGTGTACACGTTATACAAAACAATTGCGACCAGTCAATCTGTACTCGCAGGGTAGACTGGGGGCCACGTTTAAGATCAATAATTGTCTTTGACCCCTATTGTCAGTCCGTCGTTGGCCATTGTTTGTGTTTCATTTGTACTTGTCTATTGGTGTGTTTGCTTTTCTTTTAATTCTTTGCAATCGCTTTTGATTTTTACAGTTTTGCATTTAAGTGTAGGCACGCCTCTATATAAGCTTCGGCTTTTTAAAATAATTCCTCCATCTTAATATAACTACTAGGTCCCTATTGATCTTAAGGTGCTTTCGATGGAAATAAGTGTTATTGAAATAAACTATGTGTGCGCAAAGGCAACTCAAAATGAAAGCCTTTCAGAGAGTTGTAGCTGTCGAAGAAAAGCAAGTTTTTCGTTTAATAAAGAAAACAAAACACTCGAAGTTCATTTGAAAGGAGACGAAAGTCGCCAAAAACAAAACGTGCAGATGAAAATGCCTCTAGATTGTAATGATATGCACGCCAAGTTTTACAATTTCTAAAGCTTTTCTATTCCCTGCTTAAAGACAGTGACACTTGGTGACTTATTCTGAAGTTGTTAGACTGATTAAAAAAAAATTCAATATACTAGAAACACATCAAATTACATTGTGAAGCTTATTTCCTGGAATGCAATCACTGGTATAAACTCTTGAAATAGGCGAACTTTCGAAAAAGGTTAGGAACCCAACGCATGGAATGACTTGATGGGCAAAATTCACACAGTAATGTACATGCAATGAATTCCAGTAAAATGGGAAAAAAAATCACCTTGTTATATTCCTATAATGTCATAATTCTTTACACACTGCGAAAACTGCAGTGCGGATTTAACACCAGTTTGCTCTATTAGTGCAAAATGGATTAAAAAGAAGAGCACTCAATGCAATACATGCATTATTATGAAGCAAAAGACAGACAACGAACAAACATGAAGCTTCTTCGGCATGCATTGTTTTCATTATCCAGAGTGAGTGATTTTGTTAAGCTGAATAAACTGTCCGATATGTGTTCTCAACTTAGCGCAGAAAGAAAGCAAAGCTGGCCGCATGCATTGTGACTGCAACGGGAGCGATTGAAACTCACGCTGTGCATCTGACTCGGATGTGGAGCGTAAGCCACGGACACGGTACACCAAGGATGACCATTCATCATCATCACTACCATCAATTATCACTAAACATGACCAAACAGACATACAAACAAACTTACAGAATTTTGATTTTGCTCTTCACCAACTTAATGAATACAAACACTCAGTATGTATACTCAGTGCTGGCAGATTTTGTGCGAAACGGAAAACGGACAAAAAACCGTAGCTGGTTATCTTATACCATTTTGAATGGTTATTTCACAACACCTTTATTATAGGTTTATACATCTTAATATTTTGATGTGAAATACACATTGCCCGTAGTATGCCAGATGAAATAATCACGCAAAAAGGATTTAACAAGCACCACATACGTTTGCCGAGCCGCATGTGTATACGTGTCCCGTACGCATACCATTTCTAATGGTCACTCGGTTTTGCCCCTCACCGAAGTAATTTTGTCTGCACTGTTTACTCAGCAGTGGTGTGACTATACGGTTAGTACGGGAACCGGCTACCCAGTTGAAGTAAAACACGGGTACCGGTTACCCGTAAAACAAAACCCAACCCAAAATTCAAATCCCGGAAGTCGTCTGAAGGGCTTGATAGCTTTGCAAGTTAAACTGGAACTATCACGAACATCATCTGCACAATAAACGTGGAATCTGTATTGATCTTCCATGTAGCCTGGTTTCATTTTGGAAATTCCCCATCAATGACATTCAAAATCTTTTTTTACATTGTCTTAGAAGTTGCTGGCTATTTGTAAAACTGGGTATACGGATACCCGATCCTTAACCTGGAATCGCTTACTGACATCGGCGGTCGGGTACTCGGGTAATCCGGTTTTGATGCATACCTCTAATACTCAGAGTAGTCTTTGGACTTGCGAGGAAAGAAAATGACGAGCTGACCGGTGGGACTCGAACCCTCGACCTCCTGAATGCTTACTATGAAAACGTCTTAACTATACTCGTCTACCGCAAACTCTGATGGGCTTTACCCCCAAATGAGCAAAATAATCTTGCAGTCAAATAATCTTTCGAACATTTTATCGACAAGACTTGTTTTCCCAAAAATCTACATAGGCCTACATGTCCTTATAGTGTAAACGCAACCGACCCTGTTTTTCCAAGAATGAGTGTCAAACTTCTCAGAAGTGTAACATTCAAGCGGTGTACGCTGCCTGTGTGGTATTATGTGGTTTATATATATTTCATGAACACAAAATTGTCTAATCTGATGATATGTGTCTGGTTGCTTAAGCGCAGGCCCATAGGCAGGCCTACGTATACATATGCTCAGTACTGTGTTCTGTGTGATTTATAAAACATAAAGGCCCAACATAATACGAAATGACAAAACACAACGGTTAGCACATGTTGATACATCACAGTAAATGTCATGTACACACACTGCACAAAGTAATGCTGTATACGCAGCAGGTAAAACATCATGACTAAGGAATAATACCACTGCTAGTGCACTGCGCCGTGCCATATTGTTGCGCCATTGTGCACTGAAATAAAAACAACAATTTGTTTGAAGTAAACCATACATTCAGTAATAAACAGCTTTTGTTCGCAGACTTACCTGCCAGGTGGGCAGATGGCAACACGCACACCAATAGTGCAGATGTCAGAAACAGACTGCAAAGAAACATCTCCATTTTGGTGCCAATAGGTTGGTGTACAAGGCAAGTGAATGTATCGGTCTTATGAGGCCTAAACAGTCGATGGGTACTATACAGTCAAGAATGAGAAACGAACGAGTTTGCAAGACGCTGCGTGTGGTTCTCTTCACTTTCCTTCTCACTGAGTCGAGTGTTTGCGATGTCTGATCTTCTGACCTGAACCCTCCTCCTATTTATCGACAAAAACATGAGCAAGGGACTGTCCCTTCTGAGCATACAGGAAGAATCTATTTTGGGAACCTACCACACAGTGACGGTGACGTCATTGTTATTTCACCAGACTGGGGGTGGGAAAAAAATGGAAAGTGGTCGTTGTAAAATCCATGCAGTATTCCGCAGGACGTCAATTGCTTTTTAATCATGTGGAATGTTGATTTTTCGTAAAGATGTTCCTCATTGCGGTTATATGATGTGATATCTTTATCCTTGCCAAAATAATAATATTGTTAATATTAAAGGAAATGTTTTATTTTTTTTTCCAAAACGCAAGAGGATTTGAAAATATAATTGGTATCTCCATCGTGTGTCTTCGTAATGCTTCGGTTGGAGCACAGCCAAGGGGAAAGTCATGACATCTTTTTTGGGGGATAAATATTTCTTTCTTACAAGTCAATTCTGCTTGGGGTTTGACAGATCTATTTTGAGAAAATCCCCCGATAATTTTTAGACTCTTTCATAGGAAATTACATAAAGTCAGGGGAAGGGAGAAACTAACAACATGTCACTTCCTTCAAATATTTGAGCCAATCACCAATCTTCGTGATTTTGCTTTCTTCCAACTTGTCTGCCCCTCTTCCTAAATTCGAGGGTCACTCATCCCTTGCAAATGCTATTCAATAAACCGGCGCCCACTTCCACCCCCTTTGGTCAAGAGTCAGCTCGATGTGGTCATGATCGCTGATCATCCTCACTGACGAACTTCAAATATATTAACATTGAAAGCAAGGCTCTTAATGTCAAACCATTTGGAGCTTAAGGAGTTATTCTATTGGGGTATACCAGATGTTCCCCAATACCTATGTTCCCCAAAATCCCTTCGGGTTAGGGTTTAGGTTAGGGTTAGGGTTAGGGGAAGATAGGTACTAAACTGGGCAACATAGGTATTGGAACAAAGGTATGCACCCATTCTATTTGACTACTCTCAACAAAGGAGAGCATAGGGGGCCTCGCTTTGCATATAGTAATTTGAAATTCGTCTACAGTGCTATTATCCACTGCTAGGCCGTTTCAACCAGACGGTACTAATCATGAGCACAGTGACAGTGAAACTTTGGAGGCTTCCACACTTGTTGTTCTCCCTACCGACACTTCCTGTCATTGAACTTCAGTGTAATGTTTCGATGATGCTCCATGTTTTGGAGCATGTACAATGAACTTTGTCCGCACTGTATAATGAAAACGCAGCGGTCATGCATGCGCGTCGTAATGATATTGGCAGGTGTTGGTTCAGATCTGATGCACATTTCCGTACGACCTCCTCTGCGTATTAAATTCAATAAGCAACATATTTCCCTTAAAGTGATGTTAAAGTGGTTTGCATACAAAATCAATCTTCTGGAGCAAAAAATAAATAAATAAATAAATACCACTAGCCTCCCCAGTGGGAAATCGAACACCGGTCCCTGAGTGACAGTCAGAGATACTAACCACTATACTACCGAGGATTGGTAACAATGAGTAATTAACTCAGCTTCTTCACCGTGGCAGACATTGAACCATACGAAATGACAAAAGAAAACCCTAAATGCCTCCCCGCCGGGGAATCGAACCCCGGTCTCCTGAGTGACAGTCAGAGATACTAACCACTATACTACCGAGGATTGGTGACAATGAGTAATTAACTCAGCTTCTTTACCGTGGCAGACATTGAACGATAAGAAATGACAAAAGAAAACCCTGAATGCATCCCTGGCGGGGAATCGAACCCCGGTCTCCTGAGTGACAGTCAGAGATACTAACCACTATACTACTGAGGATTGGTGACAATGAGTAATTAACTCAGCTTCTTTACCATGACAGACATGAACCATACGAAATGACAAAAGTAAAACCCTAAATGCCTCCCGGCGGGGAATCGAACCCCGATCTCCTGAGTGACAGTCAGAGATACTAACCACTATACTACCGAGGATTGGTGACAATGAGTAATTAACTCAGCTTCTTTACCATGACAGACATGAACCATACGAAATGACAAAAGAAAACCCTAAATGCCTCCCCGGCGGGGAATCGAACCCCGGTCTCCTGAGAGACAGTCAGAGATACTAACCACTATACTACCGAGGATTGGTGACAATGAGTAATTAACTCAGCTTCTTTACCATGACAGACATGAACCATACGAAATGACAAAAGTAAACCCTAAATGCCTCCCCGGCGGGGAATCGAACCCCGGTCTCCTGAGTGACAGTCAGAGATACTAACCACTATACTACCGAGGATTGGTGACAATGAGTAATTAACTCAGCTTCTTTACCGTGACAGACATTGAACCATACGAAATGACAAAAGAAAACCCTAAATGCATCCCCCGCCGGGGAATCGAACCCCAGTCTCCCGAATGACTGTCAGCGATACTAATCACTTTACTACCGAGGGTCGCTGCTAATATTTAAATTACAACGTACTCATCTTCAATCAATGTATTGTACATTGCTGTCTGAAGGGGTTTTGTTTCTCATAAAAACGTGCATTATCTTTCCCAATTTAACACAATTTCTCGATTAACACAATTAACGGAACAAGGCATTCGTTCGTTTCTCTAAATCAAACAACCGCATTTCTGGAAAGTACTACTACGGGGGGCAATTACATGTTCCTGTCTGCATCCTAATATAATATATTCAACTCCTGATCTAAGTTCATCTTTCCAAATCTTAATCTATGTTCATTTATTCAAATTCTAATCTAAGTTTATTTGTATATTAAAATTCTGATCTAAGTTCATCTCAAGACAGCATAGAGCGTCGGAAGATGTTCAGGAGGTTGTACGTTCGTTTCTCTTCCAGTCAGTTCTTTGTCTCTTTGATTAAAACCATGATCATGTTTTCCATCGTGGTTTAGTTGATGAATTTATTATTCATCAAACTTTATTTCCGTGTTGGCTGTTTAGGCTAATTTTAACCAGACAGCACCAATCATTACAGTGACTGTATTACCTTCAAGGTCCCCCGCATGTTATTTCCACGAGGCATTTCCTATCAATGAACGTCAATGTACTGAACTTGTTCCGATGATGTATTAGGCCCCCCAAAAAGTCTCCGTTTTCTAGTATGCGCGCGTCGCCGTAGCCATGCGAGTTTGCAAAATTAAAAAAAAAAATTCAATGTAAGATGATGTCTCAAAACCGCCAAACTCACTGGTTTGACTGTAATCCTGCTGCTGCACAATTTAAATGTGTTTTTAGATGGGGTTACGATCGAGTATAAGCTTTATGTGGCCTCTCTGCACTCCAACATATTTTGCACTAAATTTAGTCCGGCACCATTTGCAGACGGTGTTGTAATTTTGTGATTGTGCGTCTGGAAGCCAGACTGACGGAGCGATGGTCGTGTATCTGGAACCTGTAAACGCTTTTTAATTAGCTCAATATACTTCTCAAGCCTTATGGCCTTACTGAGGTCACCTCAAGCTGCACTCTGAAGGATATTTTGAGAGTTTTAAGGGAATCGAATTAATTAAAGCGTCATCTGCAACATCAGTCGACATTTGAAGAGAAAAAAAGTTGGGTACAAAATAACCCGCGTCGCCGCACCACTTTTGGGGCAAGCGCCATACCAGAAACCGGAAAACTTTTTGGGCCTTATATTGGAGCGTTGAGATTGGAGCGTGAAGTTCAATGTACTTCGGCACCAACTATAATGAAAACGCAACGTCATGCAAGCGAGGCGCGCATGATTTGCCATGTGTTGCGGATCCAGGATGTGCGTGTTCCGTACGACCCCTGCTAGAAGTCAGGTGAGCAAGACACGTACACCAGTGATGAAGTGCCTTGATGCTGGGCCTTGGCCTTAAGGCTGCCTTAAGGCTGCCTAAAGGCTGGATTTTAGGGCCTTGGCCTTGCCCTCGAGGCTTGAGGGCAAAAGCCTTGGCCTTGGCCTTGAGGGTTCAGGGCCTTGCAATTTTGGGTCAAGGCTCTTCAAGGCCCATAGATTTTTGCATTTTTCAGATAAATCTGTTCGAAATTTTGCTGTTACCATTTTAATCGTATTACCATGGAGGAGGGAAGCACCCTATAGATTTGTGTGTTGGGCACACTTCCATTTTTGTAGCATCACATTTTGTTACCATTGTAGTAGATTTGCTGCAAAAATATTCTGTACACTTGTGGGGCTAATGAGATGATCACTTTAATTGCATATAACTACGGAATAGATCTGATTGGTTGTATATGTCTCCCTGATACATGTAAGTGCTAAAGATTTGCATGTATCTGTTTTAGATAATGCTGATATTTCTGACCATGTTGGGCCAGCAAATACAAATTTCCCAAATCAGTTTCTCGGATGCCCCTTTCGTTACACTTGGGAGAATTGTGTGTCAATATAGAAGTAAATCATTATTTTGTTTAGTTAAACCATATTGAAGACCTGAACCTATACTTTAATAGATACAGTGCAGTCATAAAACGGTGTAGGCCTATGCGAGCATGTTGATTGCAATAAAAGAAATGTTGTTCTTCGTAACGAGCAATTCGTGATGATAAGGGCGGATCCAGGGGGGCCAAAATGGGGCCATCCCCCCCTCCCCCCCCCAAAAAAAAAAACGAAACCATTTTTTTTTTATGTGACGTCGTAATAAAGGCAGGCAATGAGTACACCATCATCTTTTCCTCAAAAAACATCGGTTAAAATGGTCAGAAATTGCCTCAAATCGCACCACAGAGCATCTCGAATCCAATTTTTTTTCGGGGCCCTTAAACGGGCCCTGAAGCCTAAGCCGTAATTTTTGAACCACTTTTTTTGTGGGGGACCAAAATTTCTTTGCCCCCCCCCCCCAAAATGTGTTCTGGATCCGCCCTTGCGTGATGATGTGTCACTCAGGTGACTATAATTAGTTCTATATCGGTGGTCATTTCATAAAACAGGGCCTTGGTCTTGGCCTTGGCCTTGAGGGTAAAGCCTTGGTCTTGGCCTCGAGGCTTGAGGGTCAAAGCCTTGGCCTTGGCCTTGGCCTTGGGGGTCAAACCTTGGCCTTGGCCTTGGCCTCGAG